ATTCCTCCCGCGGAGCTATCAAATCCGGATTGGAAGGCACTTTTTTGAGCTCTTCGGGCAGTTCGCGCATGCCGAGACCTCCGAACGGCGAGGCCACCTTCTCCAGTTGCTCCACAAAGTTGCGCACCTGGACGGGAGATCCGCTAGCCTTTGGCCGCCGTTGCAGGACACCCAGCACTTTGGCTCCCGGAAGGGACGTTCGCCACAGTTGACTTGACTGGGGCAGGATCAGAACCATGCCAATGCCGCAGTTGTGCCGCTCCAGAAGTGTTTGGGCACTCAGCCTTAGTTTTCCGGCCAGCCAGCCAAAGATTTTGGGCACTGGGACGGCACCGAAATCCAGCGTTGTCTCGAATCCTTCGGGAAGAAGACGGCGGACATCGTTTAGCAGACCATGGGTCACGTGGGCCACCGACTTGATCTCATCTCCTTTCTGAAGATGAGGCAACAGCTGTTGGACATATAGTTGTGTGGGTGTGGCCAAGACATGGGCCAAGGTAAGCCCATCCTCGCCTCCGTCCACGGGAGATCGCTCCCTGAGATTCACTTTGGATGCCGCCAACTGGGTGAGTATCTCATTGAAGCCGGCGCAATGGAGTCCAGATGACGGCAGTCCGATGACCAGGTCACCCGGCTGGTAAAGATCGAAACGGGGTAGGATTCGAGACTGCTCCACTATGCCAACGCAATAGCCAGCCATGTCATGCTGACCGGGAGCGTAAAGAGACGGCATCTCGGCAGTTTCGCCACCTGAAGAGAAATTTCAAATTAGTCGTTGCATTTGAGAGCAGTGCGCTCATGTTCTCACCCACTAAGGCGCACCGCGCATCCCGGCAGCCATCAGCCATTCCCTTGACCAACTGGGCGGCCAATGGAACGTGCAGCTTGCCACAGGCAATGTAGTCCAGGAAGGCAACCGGCTCGGCACCCACTTCCAGGACATCGTTGGCAGCCAGTGCAAACAGGTCGTAGCCCACATTTTCGTATAATTCGTGCTCCAGGGCAAGGTGGATCTTGGCTCCGACCCCCTGGGTGGCCTCAGCAATGACTGGCTCCTTGTAGCTCAAATCCTTCAAGCGGAAAAGTCCTCCGAATCCACCCAAGCCGCCAAGGACGCCCGGGCGCTGGGTGCCCCGGGACAAGGGCTTGATGCGTTGCACCAGTGCATCTCCAGCATCGATGTCCACTCCGCTGTCCTTGTAGCTCAACCCCTTCGTGCTGGCACCGGCACTACGTTTGGAAAAGATTTGGAAGAAGATAGCAGTAGGTGATCAGTAGGTCATGCCAAATGGGTTGGTTAGAAAATGAGAATTAGTGGGGAAACAGCATACATAAACTATTATTGATTAATTATTGGAATGTTTGTCTTTCAATTCGTGCTTGCTTTATTTCAAGTGAGTCTTGATGCATGATGATTCACTTATAATTACATTTTGAACGCCTTCTGGGCAATGTCCGTTCGGTACTGAGCTCCAGAGCCCGAGAAAGTGATGCTGCCAGCCAATTTGGTGGCCTTCGCAGCGGCCTCCTTCAAGCTGCCGTCGAGGGCGATGGCGATGAGGACACGACCGCCATTGGTCAGGGCTTCCTTTTGTGGATTCACGGCAAGGCCGCTGTGAAAGACCAATTGGGTGGGCGAGTTGGCGGTCGGAAGTCCTGACAGGATAATACAAGCAATTATGAAGGTATGTATAAGGGAGTGGTCGAAAGCTTACCCGATATGATGCATCCCTTTGTGGAGGTCTCCGGATAGCCAGCACTGGCCAGGATCACACCCACGGCACTCACTCCAGTGCGCCATTGCAGGGGAATCTTGTCCAGCTGTCCGGTGCAACAAGCCAGCATCACCTCGAACAGATCGCTATCGAGCAGCGGCAGAATCACCTGTGTCTCGGGATCTCCGAAGCGACAGTTAAACTCGAGCACACGGGGACCATCGCGTGTCAGCATAAGTCCCGCATAGAGGACTCCCTGGTAGGTGATCCTCTCCTTGAGCAGACCCTGCACAGCCCTCTCCAGCACGGCCTTTTGCACCAGTTCCAGTGCTGGCTGGCTGATCAACGGGCATGGACAGTAGGCACCCATGCCTCCGGTGTTCGGTCCAGTGTCGCCGTCGCCCAGACGCTTGTGATCCTGCGCTGGAAGCATGGCGCGCACGCTCTTGCCATCGGTGAAGGCCAAGACGGAAACCTCTTCGCCCTCCAGCAACTCCTCCACCACCAGCGTGGCACCCGCCTGTCCGTACTTCAGCTGTCCCAGGATCTCGTCCACCGCCTGGCAGGCCTCCTCCGCATTGGTGGCCACCACCACGCCCTTTCCCGCTGCCAATCCAGCCGCTTTCACCACCAGAGCTGGATACGGAGCGCTATTAAATGTAGATATTTAAACATTTATTATTTTAAAGCATATGTGTTAGGTGTTATAGGTGTTATTTATACCTTCTGATGAACGCCTTGGCCTTCTCCGTGTCCGTGAAACTCTCGTAGCGCGCGGTGGGAATCCCATGGCGCAGCATGAAGTCCTTGGCCCACTTCTTATCCGCCTCGATTTGGGCACCTTGCTTGCCAGGTCCAAAACAGGGGATTCCTGCGCTCTGCAGCACATCGCCCAGACCCAAAGCCAAGGGATCTTCGGGTCCCACGATCACCAGGGATATCTGGTTTTCCTTACTCCATTTGGCAATGGCCTTTAAAGAGGGAAAATAAATATATTAAGCTTATCGATTTTTAAAGGTTTTCAATTAAATAACGAGAAAGCTACTTCTATTTGTGCAGTGATTCATAATTTCGTAACAAATATAATACAATTCATTTGGATTATTCCAGATCATCTAAAACAATAGGAACCAGATGGTGAAATATAATCGAATAACCGATGTTTAAATTACTTCATTGACGATCATTGACATGGTAATCGCATTTACTGATAAATTCTTGCCAAAAAGATAGCATTTCGTGAGCTCCGACAGGCAGAATTTAGAATTTGCATAGTAATTGTGTTGTCTCCGAAAGAAATCTGCAATTTGAAGATCATAATTGGGTTTTCCAATCAAAGCGGGTCACGATCGTCCGCCACCTCTTGGGATCGGGATCCTCATTGTTGCAGGTTGTTTTGACTTTTGGCAACCACATTCCAAGTCACAGATAGCACTCCTCTAAGTACCCAACCGGTTCCATCGTCAATTTGTCGCCAAAATACTAAATGCCTGTCCAATTGCTTTGCCATTAAACTGGGTCTGTGCTTGCATTGTCTTCGCACTTGGCGGATGGATGGAGATGATGAACTGACTCAGGCGCCAGCTATGTCAGTCATGTCAATAAACCAAGTTAATCCCAGCTTGATCGACGGTCCGGTTTTGGTGTCGGATTCGGAATTGGAATCGGAATCGGCTTCGGATGCGCAGCCGTCGATATCGTTACTCAGCTCTAATTCGAATTGGCGCCAACGCAGCGCCGGATTACCCCGCTCTGGAGAAACGCGTCTCGATTGCACTGGCCTGCGTTCCAGACCATTTAGCACCTGGGGAGCTCATCCCGATTTCCTGACCCCCGTTGCCCATCCGGTTGGCCGTTTCGTTTCCCAAAGTTCAAGAACGTTCACACGGAATGACGCTTTTATTGGGCCATTTGGCTTTCCAAGTTAAGAGCGATTCGGCAAACCCGGCCAAGGTTTTAATTTCCCGTAACGAAGGAGTGAAGGTTGCGAAGTGCTTATGACAGATGAATCGGACCAGCAGAAAAGAAAGATCAACAACTTTTATATCTTCGGTGTTTCCTTTTTTCGTTCATTGGCAAGACGCGCATTCTCCGACTGGCTCTTCCCAAATTTGGCTAGAACGTATTCGACTTTATGCTTTACAGAGTGCGCTCATGATTTACTGTATGATATGCAAATGAGGTGCGGGAGAATGGGATCTGGCCATCTGGAGGGGCGGCAAGTCTGGAGAGGAATGCCGCCACATTAGTCTGCGGATAAGTACGGAATTAGATACGCTTTGCTGAATTAGTCGGACGGGTTTTGCGATCGTCCACAAGAAGTATCATCCAGGGGATGGCAGGAAACTTCGTCTACGTTGCTGCCAAGTGCTTGAATTATTTGCTTGATGATAAAAATCCAAGATCATTTATCAGAATATCAGAGTATGCTTGTGCAATTTCTAAGAATAACCATGCAGATAAAGTGAGCAAAGAATGCTGCGTATCAAGTCGAAGAAGTAATTAAGCTTCATTAGACTAAGCCAATAACCCAAAATTGGCATTTAGGCTGTAAAGCATTACTTAACTGGAGAGTCATTTCCTTTGAAACTAATTTACTTTTTTAGACGGCACATTACAAACAGTCTATCAGGTATATGGAATTTCCAGACATAAATTTCAGCTGAAACGACTATTATTAAATTAATTTACTGTCCTCTAACTGTGGTAGCTAACCTGCAGTGCATACCATCAATCATTCAAAAAATAACTTGCATTGACACATCTTAGCCAGAGCTACTATAGGGTTTTTACGACAGTGCAGTTCAACGATCGTCATGGTATTTAGAGCTCCTTGAGGTGGTAAGTCGAGCCGGGCAATATGGGATTTTCAAGATCAGCCACAATACATATCAAATTGTAAGTGCCCCAACCTTCGAGTAGGGCATAACCATTCACGAATGTTTCGTTTAGGTTTCACTCTGCCTTCCGTTTTGCCGGACTCCAACATCCCACACTTTGGGAATTGCAGCGGCGACAACGACAAATAACGCCGTTGATACCTATATAAAATAATTCCTATAAGAAATAAAATCATTTTATTTATGACTGACTAAGGCGACCAGCAGCGATGAGATGATGTAGATGGAGGCGATCATGACGATGGCGACGACGACGACGACGATGACGAGCGGAGATGGAGACGGAGACGGAGACGGCAGCTCGGAACTGGGTTTCCGAGGCGAAGTGTAGCCAAAAATCCGCTGGTGAGCGGATGGATATAAAAACGAAAGCGTCCGAGAAGCAGGCAAGCAGTTTAGAACCAAACTCGAACGCGACACCATGTATTTGCTTGTAAGCCCAACAGCTGGCCTTTTCCCGAAAATGGATTATAATCGCCGACTCTCTAATCTCACCCGCAGGTGAACTTCATCGTAGCGCTGGCCGTGCTGCAGGTGCAGGCAGGCTCCTCCTACATACCAGACTCGGATCGGAACACCCGCACCCTTCAGAACGATCTGCAGGTGGAGCGGGATGGCAACTACCGGTACGCCTACGAGACCTCCAACGGCATTTCCGCCTCGCAGCAGGGATTGGGCGGCGTGTCCGTTCAGGGCGGCAGCAGTTACACCTCACCCGAGGGCGAAGTCATCAGCGTGAACTATGTGGCCGATGAGTTTGGCTACCATCCCGTGGGCGCGCACATACCCCAGGTGCCGGACTACATACTGCGCGCCCTGGAGTACATTAGAACGCATCCCTACCAGATCAAGGACTACTACACCGGCGAGCTGAAGACCGTGGAGCACGATGCGGCCGCCTTCAATGTGTACACCCGCAACATCCAGGATCCCACAACGCCCAGATCCCGACCGAGCACCACACCCAAGACCATATACCTCACCCATCCGCCCACGACCACGTTGCGACCTCTGCGCCAAAGACGAGGTGCTCCGACGCACTGAATGATCGATGGTCGAGCCTCATTGGCGGGGAAAGGGGCTGGTCTCTTGGGCATCCAGCGGGCGAATCTGTGAATTTTGATCTAAACCATTAATTAAGCCACGAACAATAAATAGAAGTGCTAAGCAAACATAAGCTAAAGTGTAAAACGACAACAGCGAGTTGCTATTGTTACCCGATCTGTCATCTGTCGACTTGTCTGCTGGATCATGGATCACATCGTGGATCGACATAAACAGTTTTGGGTATTTGATTCTGTTTATGGAACGACGATCAATTCGATTCCAAAGAAGTCAATAGCAAGCATTATGCCAAGAAAATTTATTAATTAATAGCGAATTTAACAATCCGAGGAATCTTATTAAGCTGTCGATCCCAAATACTTGCTACTTAAAATTTCCATACCTAAAAACGAGCCAAATAACACCTGCCGTCCGCGATATAAAGCCTACAAATGATAGGATCGTAAAAGTCACATTTGAAAGAAACAATTTGAAGGAACAAGAAGCGGAAAGCCCCAATTTAAAGGTAATTTTTGTATAATCTACGGAGAAGACTTTCAATGAATGTTGTTTTTGCCACTGCTACCTGCTATAATTAATTGACCCAAATGAAGCAGATAATGTATTTAAACTGGTTTTTGGTTCACATTCAGATGTAGCTATTTTAATATAAAAGTTCATTAAATGACCACTTGTTTTTCAAAAATGTATCCAAAGTATGTAATTGATGATTTGTGTTTTTTCGCATAATTGAGTATGAATGTATAGTACTAAACCACTAGCACACGTGGAATATCTATAAGTATATATTTCCAGCAACGAGATAGCGCGCAGCACACATCACTTATCAGCCAGAGGTGCAATCGCGCCCCCATGGCCCGTCTAAGGGTTAAGGCGGCGGATTGCGTCGCTCCGAGATTGGATGCAATGAAGCGCTTTCCCAGCGTCTCGATTGCGAATTTACGGCTGCCGCTCAGCATAAAGGTTCTCGGAGAATGGAGGGCGTTCTTTACCACGATCGAAGCCATAAAAGCGAACGAATCACTGGGTAACACAACAATAAAATGGCAACCAAACGCACTTAGTGCCGAAAAACGCGCACCCACAACCCAATTCACACACACACTTGCACTGCTCAGTAACTTTAGGAACCACACGAAGGTCGCTCCAAGGTCGGAGTAAGGAACCTACCTCGAAATCCCCAGGAGCCAAGGTCTTCGCGTCCAGATTCCGGCACTTGTCCACCAGCTGGATGCCATGGCTGCCCGGCAATGCGTATACTTGGGCCACCTTTGGTGACTGCGACAACTTCCAGCAGATCGCGTGCTCCCGACCGCCGCTGCCAATTACCAGAACGCGATGCGACATAATTCCGCTGAATCAATCACGTTTCCAAAGTTCCCAAAACAATAACACCAAGCTGAAGCTAATGCGCACCCACGTGTTGAGCCTAAGATCTGGACAAAAAGCACGCGCGACTCGATGTTGCGCGCCGTTTCTCTTTGGGTTCGGATCAACCGCTCGGTTCGACGCCTCTTTTTCAACTGGAGTCTGGCCTACCATAGGTAGTCATGTACATACATCCATGTGTATGTGCATAGATATGTATGTATGTGTGCCCATGTGCGATTATGTTTGTGTTCAGGTTCAGGGGCTGATAAGAGTGGGTTCCAGTGGGCTGATTGCATTCTCTTTTACACAGCGAAAATAAACCAGATGATAACTAGATTTCTGGATGGGTGATAAAGTAGTTGAGATAGTAAAGGAAATAAAATACCCCTTTACCCTTTGAAATTTGAACAAACTAAGCAACTAATGCGTGCGCCAGCATTTTCTCCCAGTGCTCCCGGTGCTGTTTGTTGTTTTCAGCAGGCCGATTGGAAAAGTTGCGAATAAATAACAAAAACACGGCGATAGCCTTTCGGGACCCCTGAAAAACCAACGATCGCTGTGCTGGGGGTAAATGGAGCAATAACTCAATTGCATTCGCTTATCAGGATCATTTGTGAAAGCAAATGAACATCCGAAAGATCTGGAATTTTCCTCATACTGCACTACATATGTACATATGTTGCTTTACCCACTTTTATGCGAATTATTGGATCAGCTGTATGCTAAAAGCTCTTCTTAAACAAACATTTATGTATATATAGAGTAAAAGCTCATAGCTAAACGAGGTAACTCCCCGGCTAAGCTTTTACGATCTGAAATTTGGACTTTCTATACTACATATTGAAAAAAGGTTCGTTATCCTGTAACTTTCACAACAATTCGGGCAGCTGAAGCAAAACAACACTATTGTCATAAATGAGGTCGAAGACAAGAAACAAGTCGAGTTTGAATCAACAGCCGCTGATTAATTAGGTATTGGAAAGCAGCAGGCAATAAATAAGATCGAATCTCGACCTGTGATTTTGAGGGATCATTGCACTGCAAAAATCATAATCTTGCGTCACATTTTAAAATTACCGCTTCGTTTTATTAGTATGCATTATACAAAATTGTGTGGTGTGAGTTGTAAATTTACAAAATATCTACCATAGTCCGTCATAAAATTTGTTTAAGATAGTTGTTGATGCTCGGTCTAGCCAGTGGGTAGAGCAACGAAAACGCGCGCCACATCGAGAACCTGCGTGCAAATGTGTGGTGACAAAGAATCTGAGAATGTCAATGCCTCGTGGGTTTTTTCTCGTTTTTCGCTTGAATTTCATTTATATATAGAATCATGCATTTGCAATCAAAGTACCAAGATGAAAATTAGAAGTTATTGAAATAGGCAGGTGACTCTCCATCGCTGCAGTCTGTTACCGGCGCATCTGAAAGCCAATGGAGCCATTCGGACAGGGACCCTTGGGCAAGCGCAGGACTAGGTCGTTGAACGGATGCGGATGCTGGCCGAGCTGCTGCTGATTGTGCTGCTGGTGCTGCTGCGGCGACTGCAGCGACTGTTGGCGCAGGAGGGCAGCAGACACTGATCCGCCCACAACCGGTGACCAGCTCTGCTGCGGATTGGGCGAGGACTGGGGCGGCGCCTGAGCCTGCATCCCACCACCGCCCATTCCCGAGCCTCCGCCTCCGTACGGCGGCAGCCGTTGGTTGAAATGATTTTGAATCGAGGGCGACTGCTGTTGCTGCTGATGTTGCGGGTTATGCGGATAGTAATAGTTAAGGCCAGGCTGATTATGCGGCCCCTGGAAGTAGCTGTTGTAGTTATTATACATTGGTGTCACTAGGGACATCTTCGGTGCCGAACTCGAGCGGTGCATTCCTGCTGCTGGATGGCTACTATTGTTGTTGATGACGTTATTGTTGCTGTTGGCAGATGGGGGAGTGGCAGGCGGCGCCGCGGACGCGGGAGCCCCACTGCTGCTATTCACAGCTGGCGCGCTGGGAGTGGTCCTAAAAATAAGACAAAATATGTAGACATTTCTGATTAAATAGGGTTTCTGTTAAGATGTTTCTTAAAAATATATCTAATATTAGATATTCAAAACGAAGTAAATTATTCATATTAAAGAGTTGTAAGTTATGAATAGTTACTTAGAGACCTAAGAGCTTCCGAGTGAAAATCTTAGGTTAAAATATGAACTATAGTGGTTTCTGTCTAGATAAATGAGTATAGTTAATCGAGACCCTGATAAGTAATATTTCGCTGTACTTATTTGTGTTTCGACAGTAAGGAATGGCTTTCTCGGCACCAAAATAATAGAATAAAGTAAGTTTGGAAATGAAATCAACTTGTAGGCTGGTATGTTATAATTACTAACGGTTTGTCATCCTCTGGGTTTTTGGCAGCGCCCAGGATGCGCAGCCTGGCCTCCGCGTACTCCTGTTCGCGCTGCTTGAGCGTCTTGATGGGCTGCTTCGGTCGCATCCCGTTGGTGTCCCGCCGCTCCTCCGCCTGGGCGGGCCGTCGCAGTATCTTGACGGTTTGGTTGCTGGTGGGCGTGGAGTAGGTGGCCGCATCGTAATCATTGGACGACTTGTGCAGCACCATCATGACGGGCTGCTGCTGCTGGACAGACGGATCAACCTCTGCTGGCGGTGCTTGGGGCTTCCGGGCAATGGTGATCTGCCTTGGCGGAGGATTCCCGCCCCCGCTTCCACCGCCGCCGCCGCTGCTGAGGATTTGTGAGCACTCCTGTAGGCTCTGCGGGCGTTGGAGCAATTTCATTTTGTGGACAGGTGGGTCGCTCGCCTGCAGCTTTGTTTGCAGAGTCATAGAGAGCTGGGGAAGAGAGTGGTGTCTCATCGGTTATCAGGCAACATGTTTAATCACGTCGCGTGGCACTCACCCCAGCCTCGTCGATTTCCTCCCAGTTGTCTAACACATCCTCGCCATGGGACATCGTTCAACAAAACACGTTGCTCGATTGGTGATAGAATATATACTTTGGGTTTCGGTTGCGTTTTCGCTCACTTCCTTCTCTTGCGTCTGCTGCTGCAGCTCGCACTCTTACTGATACATGATTCCTTTGCACTTTTATCAGACATAAGTTATGCGTATGTTGGCAACCACACTTTTTTCACGAAATTCGCACCCAAGAACCCTACTGAAAAAACAAAAAAACAATACGCAACAATTTGGCCTGCTACTAATGTCGTTCTCGTTGTTGTTGTGGTTGTTCTCCGTGGGTTACTCTTCTTCTTCCTCGTCAGGTCACAGCAAAAGTGACAGGTTTCGTTCTTTTCCACCTAAACTGGGAAAGTGGTTCTACTCTACTGGCCCAACCCGCACTGCGCCAGAAGATACTTGGCCACCCACCTTTGCTAGCCACAATTGTTAACCATTTACTATTAACGCTTTATTAATAAAAGAAGTGTGTGGCCGCCGCCCGCGTTTCGCTGTGAATGTCGACCGAAATTTGGAATAGTGCTGCGTTAATCGATAGCCTGTGTAATCGAAAAAAAATTTAAAATGTGATTTTGATCATGTTGTTTTCTAAATATTCAGTTCATTAAATTTGACAATGTTTTGCAGGGCGAACTTGTAGTTAGTTGTCCGATATAGTTGGGATCGCGAAAATACATGTATGAATATTTTGCTTAGCCATGTCATACCCAAGGCAACAATCGATAACGGCATGTTAAGCCAAGGTTGGGTGTATGTTATGTTAACATGATAACCAAATCAGCTGTTCTCTCTGAAATTTCGGCAAGGCTAATGAAATATTTGAAATAGATAAGAGGCACTATTGATCATGGAAGTTATAATCCCGCGCTATTCGGAGGCACACATCATTATCATAGGTCAGCAACCGCGCAGCAAGCAGATCACCAAGCGATAGCAACCATCCGAAATCCAGCAATCTTTAAGCACGTGCCATTCAATCAGAAGCTGACGGAATTTCTCGCTGTGTTTACGTAAATAGTTATAATTCCACAATGGAGGGGGCCGAAATCGCAACAAAAAAGAAGTCCAATCCCGTAAAGTCCTTTATTGCGGGCGGAGTGGGAGGCATGTGCAATGTGTTCGTTGGCCATCCTTTGGACACCATAAAGGTGAGCTCCAAAACTGTGGTTACTAATGAAATCGAAGTAATGCTTTCAGTTCCAATCCAGGTCCGTCTCCAAACCATGCCCACACCTCTGCCTGGACAACCGCCGAGATATAAGGGAGTCATAGATTGTGCCACCAGGACATTTCGCCATGAGGGTGTGCGTGGATTCTACAGAGGTATATCCGCTCCCCTTGTAGGAGTAACACCCATCTATGCTGTGGACTTTGCCGTCTATGCGGCGGGTAAACGATTGTTCCAAACGGATGACCACATTAGGCTCACCTACCCACAAATATTCGCCGCCGGAGCCTTGGCCGGAGTTTGTTCCGCCCTAGTCACAGTACCCACCGATCGAATAAAAGTCCTTCTACAGACGCAAACCGTCTCCAACGGACCTCTACTCTACAATGGGACCATTGACACAGCTGCAAAGCTTTATAGGCAAGGTGGCATTCGGAGCCTCTTCAAGGGAACATGCGCGTGCATTCTGAGAGGTCAGCTATTCATTGATTGATTAAAGTCGCCTTAATAGTGATTGATTATTTGGAATTCGCAGACTCGCCCACCGGTTTTTACTTTGTCACCTACGAGTTCCTGCAGGAATTGGCCAGAAAGAAGTCCGCCACCGGGAAGATTAGCACCACATCAACTATTCTGTCTGGCGGAACGGCGGGCATTGTGTTTTGGACTTTGGCCGTGCCGTTCGATGTACTTAAAAGCCGCCTCCAGTCAGGTTAGTCATCCAATCGTAAATCGAAAATCTATTAGCAATGTTTTATAAATGCCATGATTGCAGCACCTGAAGGCACCTACAAACATGGCATTCGTAGCGTTTTTAGGAACCTAATGGCCACAGAAGGCCCAAAAGCTCTATTTCGCGGAATCCTGCCAATTCTACTTCGTGCCTTTCCCTCCACCGCAGCAGTTTTCTTCGGCGTGGAGCTAACCAATGATTTGTTGAAAGCTTAAATTTAAGAACTTGTATTTAGAGAGGCTGTTTGGAATATTAAATATTGTTTACATAGTGATGTAGTTTAGTTTATTGGGATTTCCGATTTTACCAGAGTGACCAGTGACCGAAGGATATTAATGGATACGTTCAAAATATTAAAAAGATACGAAATATTAATAGATACGTTCAAAAATAAAGAATTAAAGGGTCCCCTAAAGTGTCTATGCTTTCTTAAATTGTTTGTTACTAAGCTTTCCAGCAATAATTTAAGCCACATTGAAAAATTCTCACCCTGCTTAGAATTTTATAAGTATTTAAGTAAATAATTTTTACTTTACATGGTAAAGTATCTTTAAGTTTTAGTTTGGTTTCGATTCATTTCAATTGGAAGACGAAACACAATCGATAGTTTCCAAGCAGAATCGACCGTCTATATTAGCGGGGAATTCACGGAAAGATTCCAACTGTTGCTTCCAATCAGAAGACTACTTGCAGAGAGATATATTGTATACAAATTATAAAACCAGTAAAATAAATAATAAACATTACTAGTGTGGAACTGCACGCTGTCCAGTAAAAGTGAAATCAAAAGAACTGTAATTGTGATTTCACAAGAGCACGTAAATACACATATATCCCGTCTTATCAGTTTAATTGCAAGCGGTCATTTAGTGACTAATCGAATGTCTAAGCTAAAACCGCTTAAGTATGACCTCACACGAAGGGAATGGAGCTCCAATGCAGCCGCTAAATATCACATCATATAATATCAGAGGCTTGGAAGGCAAACAAAACAATGAAGAGTTTATCACATACCTGCAAAACTTCGATATTTTCATTTTACTTGAAACACACACTCTTCCAAATGCCGTATCCGCCGAGGAATTCAAGCAACAGCAGCCCGATTTTGAGTTTTTGCATTGGAGGGACGCCACAAGGGTACTTCGTCGTGGCAGAGGAATCGGTGGGTGCATCATAGGCGTTAGGAAATCGCTCAATGAGCGTGGAATAAGCCACTCAGTTGTAGAAAGGAACGATGTAAAGATTTTACAGATCAGTCTGTGTGAGAGAAAGCTAAATATTATTCCACTTTACATCCATACCATTGGATGGAAGGGGGAATTCAAGCCAGTGGAGGAGGCATTTGAAAACCAGGAAGTGCCCATGACGAATGCTATAGTTATGGGCGATGTGAATATCCGCATTGGGGAGTTCAAGCAAGCTGTAGAACCCAGCTACTGTGTGGCCAATACAAATGGTCGCCTATCGCATGACAAAAAGATGGAGAGGGCAGGAAAGTTCCTCGCCTTTTGCACCAACAACAAACTTCAAATCCTGAATGGACTCACCCACGGGGATTTGACAGGAAGTTACACCTACTTCAGTAATCTGGGCAACTCCACCATTGATATAGCCGCAGTGAGCCAGAACTTGATGGCAGCCGTTGTGGACTTCAAGGTGGACAAGCCAGAGACGGGCCGAACCCGGCATGGATCCGACCACTTGCCCATCTGCCTGCAATTGGACCTCGAAGTCCTGCGAAACGCGCAGGTGACCAGGCTATCTCCAATGCGACTCAGAAGCAGTTACACTGCGCCATTCGATTCCAGCATCGTGGTGAACGAACCCACTTTGGACTCTGAAATTAGAGCCGAGGAAGTGATATATGTTCTTAGGCGCGGATCTTTTCCCGAGTTTTCGAAGAGCGTACTGGACGAAATCACCCGCCATTGCAATGATATTTTTAATGCCACCCAGAGAGACAGTATCGTTGGCTCAAATATTGCTACATCGTCGGACGTCACAAAGATTCTACTGCAAATAGTAATGTATAGGCTGATCAGGTGGTGCAAGCAGAAGCACATCTTGAGTGATTCCCAGACTCGATATTCGGTAAAGTTCTCCAAGATAGATGCGGTTTACAGTCTCAGTACCATCGCAAAAATCAAATTGGCTGATAAGTGCACGCGAGTTTACTCTTATCTCGTTCACTTTGAATCAATAACTTCAGAAATGCCCGCGCTTTTGTGGGCCAAACTTCAAAAACTTGGTGTGTCGTCGAAAGTATTACGGTTTTTAAGAGAGAAGTTAGGCGAAAACACTTTCCGTAACTATTTTCAAAACGGCGGAGCTATGGCCAAACTCTTATTCACCCTGTATTTGAACGATCTTCCGGAGGAATTGAAGGGGGGATTTGTCATCGATGGTCGCCATTTGAACGTCATAATGTACGCTGATAAGATCGCAGTACTTTCTGAAAGAACTAACGATCTTCAGAATATGATCAACCAGCTGGAAGCCTACTGCAACAAATGGAGCATGGTGGTGGACATGGAAAGGTCCAAGGTTATGGTCTTAAGGCGCGGTGGACGGATTGCGTTAAATGAAAATTGGATTATAACAGGAAAGAAGATCGAAACCACTGGCAAGGCAGAATTCCTCGATTTTCAGTTTACGAGTACACTGTCCAACAAAACGCAAGTACTCAACATGATTGCAGACGCCAAGAGTAAGCTAATGAGTTTCGGTAGCACATCGGAAAATTGGACCAGACTAATGAATCTATACATGGTTCAAATGTGGGGATGCGAACAATTCAAGGAGATCAAAGCTCTGCAAACTTCGTTTATTAGAAAAACTCGTAATACGTGTACCAACCTCAACAATCTTGCACTTAAGCTTAATTTGAAATATATTAAAAGCCTCTATTTTGCCCACAATGATTCATCCATCTCGCGATTTTTAACTCTTAAAGTAATAGATGAAAACATCCTGTGGACTAAAAAACTTGATAATATTTGTAGTGCCTATAACTTAAGGTGGAAGAGTTTTTTGAATTCTGAACCGGAGTGGAGCAATTTTTGTGAGAATCTACTGAGCCGCCTAGAGGAACCCTGAAATCCAAAGGATGGTCTTTTTTTATGATTTGTTGAACAAAACAATGTGTTAAAACCATATTTGTAAATATTTAAATGTAAACTTTACATATCAATTATTATGGAATTTATATAATTCAATCTTTTATATCACAACTGTTTTTTATACTTATTTTATACTTACCAGCATATTTAACTGTGTTTATAAAACTATATAATATGTTATTAAATGGGGATTTTTCGTTGTTTAAACGAGACAAAAAAAATGAACTGTATTTTAGTTTTATTCAGTTTTTGTTTTTATTTAGCTTTCTGGTCTATGCATATTTCTAATTCTTAATTTTTGGAATGTCATAAAATCACCTTAAACACTATTACGAATATCATTTAAAAATCGCATTACCAAAGATTGCACATTAATCGTAAAAATATGTAAAAATAATTGCAAATAAATATGCACTAATTGTAGATGTATACAAAAAATTCAATGTATAAAATATGAAATACTTCTTAGGAATCAATTAAAATGAACTAAATTGTGTGCATAGCATTTTTGATATCATAAATTCTTCATAGCATTGGCTGTGATGCTCACTTGGTAAACGATCCATAATCAGATCAATACGTCTATATAATACAAATCAAGAAAATCAGGCGGTCATAAACACCTCCAATGGAGTTCTTGTAACACAAATATTTAGCATCCTTAGTCATTAACAGCTAGTTTCCGATAGGATCTTAATCGTGATAAATAGTAAATTAGTGTCTTTTACAATCAACTTTTTTCCGTGGAACGAAGAGCTTACAGAATTGAACAAAGAAAACTCAATTTTTACTTTTGGAATTTACACAATATACCGTAAAGCATGAACAGAATATCGCGATTAGTGTTTAACTATAATAGATTAGCTGCGCAGTTTCCAGACCCGTTTGCACATTGTTCAGAGAATAAAAAATAATAACGTTCGTTATTATTGTAGTTTAGAGAAAGTGATGAGAATTGCTTCAAATACTTTTCCATGTAAAGGTATTTGGAGCCAAAGTGTGTTAACAATCTAATAGGAAACATTACAAGGGCAAACGATCTTAGTTTCGAAAGTATCATAAACGTCATATTCATGCTCATAAAAACAAAATATGTGAGTAACAAATGTATGTGTTAGAATGCGGGAGCATTATGGTTATAAAAGATAAATGGAATATCACGATTAGTCCTTAACTAGTTACAGATTAGCTGCTCAGTTTCCTGTTCGGTTTGCAGCTCAGCCCGCTTGACTAGAGTTGGAGCCGCCGCTGGCGAGTCCGCCACAGCAATTGCTCTGCGCTGCCTTGGCACTGAAGCTCCCCAGGCCGATGGAGCTGCCTTCTGACTGGCGCTGGGCGGCCGCCGCTGCGGCCGAACTACTGCCATCCTTGCTTCTAGCCTGACCAATCAATTCGGCGGCAATTTCGTAGAACAGTCGCTCAACATTTTCCGCTTCCTTGGCGGACGTCTCCAAGAAGTACATGTCGTGCTGTTTGGCGAACTCTTCGCCAATCTGGGTGGGAATCTCTCGATCATCCCTGTCCGTCTTGTTACCCACCAGAATTTTGAGTACCTTGGAGTTGGCGTATTCCTGGATCTCGCGCAGCCAGTCTGGAAGGCAGTCGAATGTGGGTTGGCAGCTGATGTCGTACACCAGGATCAAGGCGTGAGCCGATCGATAGTAGCTTTGCGTAATGGATCGGAACCGCTCCTGGCCGGCGGTGTCCCAGATTTGAAGCTTGATCTTCTCGCCCTCCACCTCCACTGTCTTAATCATGAAGTCCACACCAATGGTGGCACCCTGGCCAGGGGGAAACAGGCCTTGAGTAAAGCGGCGCACTAGGCAGGTTTTTCCAACACCAGCGTTGCCCACTAGGACGATTTTAAACAGGAACTTGTAGTCCTCCATTGGGGCTGGTCCCAAAATGGGTTGGTTTTCGGGTATTTGAGTGGCTGGGTGTGGGTAAGTGTGTGTGTGCTCTGCGAAAGTAGACGAAAGTTAGTCGGAGTTTAGACACACCTATCCAGCGACGCGTAACGATTATACTTTGATGGCTGGTGGTGGTTCGTTGGATCAGCTTACGCCATCCCCAGCGAAGACAACGCCTCTCACCTGTGGCTCACCTGGTGCTCTATCACTACCTGGGAAGCGAGTTGGGTGGTGTCAAAGGCTGTTAGCCTTGTTTTTTGGCTTATTTGGCTAAAAGATGATGACTCAACAGCAGCTGTAGGTGCTTGTTACTTGCTTATCTATGCGAATCGGCCCCAAGTCCATTCAGCAGGGCTTCGGCCAGGTTCACTATGCTTGAAAATTGGCAATACACTGGTTGCATGCTGCCGCATTAATTACCAGCCTTAATTTTGCTTATGTTTACCAACAGAATTTTGCTGTATTTCGACGTGATGGTATTTGATTAGAGATGTGAAATACCATCAATTCCCTTAGCGATACTTCCCGATGTTTCTCTTTGTATCGACGGAATACTTTTTGAATACTATCAAAAAATGTGTCATATTTTATAAAAGCGACATCTGATTTAGTCAATTGGCGTTAATTCTCTTTTAAGCACATGTATGCAGTGGCTTTATGTTAATATGCCCCTGTCTAAACAGGCGCCTATAAATTTATAAGAAACGATATCGATATATCAGTCGCAACGAAGTATGGTTATCTAGTTATCGATTGTGCATCATCGATAAGTTATGTGACAACCCTGTAGCTGAAAACAAGCAGCCACGCTAGAGAAGAAAATCTGGTAGAAAATTTATAAAAATTGTATTTGAATAAGCGCGAAAGCCAAAAGAGAAGTTCGTAAGTGGTCCTGTGATTTGCTTTGTGCGTCCCCACCACATTTTGATTTCTCCACACGTGCCAGACACCGAGCAGTGGACTTTTTTCACGGAGCACCCCGGATAGCACCGAAGTAATTTTTGAACATGGCCGAGGACTTCGATGTGGAGGCGATGCTTGAGGCGCCGTATATGAAAAACGTAAGTTCCCAAAGGTCGGGTAGCAGCCGATTATCGTTTAAATTAAGTCCCACTGGCCTTGTGCCCACCCAATGCGATTATTTTGCTGTGAAAAAAATGAAAAAAAAACAGTTACTTCATATGTATGTTTGTATACTTCTTTTCCCCACATAGACACCAACAGGCGTTCGTGCATTTTGTGTTTGTATGTAAGTCTTCGTCTCGGGCACACACACATACACACACACATATATATATATATATATATGCAGTCGATGCATACTAAGATGTCTTAAATCGATTTTTAGCCTAATTTTGATGTTAAATAAAAAATCGGCAACCGGAACGCCACTCTGCGTGCTGATTTTCGTAATTTTTTTCATACTCGACTGCGTGCATACAGAAGTGTTTCGCCAACGAAAAATCTTTCTGTGTGTGGGTTTGTGTTGTTTATTTTTCTGCGCGGCATTTGATACAGTCGTGTTTTGCAGTGGGTGTACAGTGGGGTGCAAAATATTTGGCAGGGTTGCAATCGCAACTAAAACCGTTTAACAAGTGTCTGGAAAATTTAAAGGATTGAATTACTAACAGGACAGTCATGGTTTTATGATTGTTTTCACATTGAACTTACTTATTAAAAACAAACTTATATTACGGATATTATATACAATCTTATTTAACTTGGACTTCAATCTTTGAATTGGGTTTGTAGCAATTTGTATTCCTCTTATCTTATCTGGGCAAACCATCTGTAATAATATTCAAATAGGTTTAAACTTAGCCATATGAAATAATACTTGGAAATGTGTCAATATGTATATATATTATAAAATAATTTGGTTTTTTTCCGTAGGGCTTTTTAAGTAGTATTTACAATTGAATTTTTCGGTGTGTTGTGGAATAAATGTGATAAAAGTAATTATTAAGCACCAAAGCAAATCAAACATAGCTCGATAGCTTTCCAAGGTTTTCGCAATAAAAGGCTTGATCCATCTGAAGGACAAGCTTAAGTAGCAAATAAATTGAACTTTCTTTCGCCCCGAACCAAGAACTCATGAGTTCAAAGCTCTTATTGCTTCCTATCTGCTGTTTCGCTAAGAACAACCGAAAACTACCCACACACAATCACCATTAAAAAATTAAAAACCCAAACAAAATGCTAGAATAATTCTTAAGGGTGAAATGTCTTTGCAGAGAATCGAATAAGCTCAATATTGTTGCTAGAGATTGTTTTGGTCATTCTAAACACAAAAAGCTGGAGACCATTTGGTAAGTTTTGAATGTGCCAGAAGCTGCGAAAAACCAATTACAAAATTACAAAACAATAAAAAAAACCAAAACATATCTAGGCATTTTGTATTCAATATGATTTGTTTATGTTTGAGTTTTTTTGAACACAATCCAATTGAAATCGTTACCTTACTGCTCTATGTAAACCAATGAAACTGAACGTGCACTAAATTTCAGATATACTCCTCCTAACTTGTCTGGGGCAGCAGGCAGCACTACTACTACTCTCACTCACAGTCAGACAAGAAAGAAAGTATCGCTCAAATTACAAATTACAGATTTACCATAAACAGAAATCGAAAAATAAGCATAAATGACCAACACATAAGCCCAAAAAGCCAAGCCTAAACCAAACCTATTTGAACAAACAAAAAACGTAATAAGCAATTCTTAAACTATAGCACTACAATCTTACTTATATAATGTCTATGTCCTATATATATATAGACGACGTCTTTTTGAGAACCAATCAACCAGTCCACTCCACTAGCCAGCGCTAAACATTCCCCCAAAACTGATCTGATTGAGAATGAGAATGAGCATGGGAAATTTGCCCATGTGGAGACAACATTTCTCGCCGTCGTGAACCATCTGTGTGTGTGCCATATACAAATTAAATATATTATATATATTTAGCAAAACTATGTATAAGATATCTCTCTATATCTATATCCTTATTACTACCTAAAAACTGCTAAAAATTGGCAATGATCCCCAAATGATCATTGTTGACTTAAGCATTTCTACTTTATATACTTGCAGATGCCAAAAATTTAACTAATTTACTTTGATTTGCTTTCTCTTATTCAAAAAAAAAATATTTACGAAACTGAAAAAATAATATATCATAACAAACTCAATGATATAATCGAAAATCAACCAACATCAACAACGACCACAACGTAACGAACGATCAACACCCGTTATGTGTTCCCACCCACCAAAAAACTGAAACCAATCGACAAAAAAAAAAAAATAATCCACTTATCTGTATCTACATTATTGCTTGCGCCCAACCAACCCATCCTCCCTGTCCACTCCCACACCCAATCCACCAAACAAACAAAACAACCTATCTGTGTAGAATGTCAGTGCGGGCAGCGGTGGACGTGGTGGACGCAGGCACAGCGGCAGCAGTCCTGGCGGCGGAGGACACGATGACGAACACGCCGAGAACGCTCCACGGAACGGCAGCGGCGGCGGAAGCTCACACAAAAAACAAAGCAAGCGATCCCGGTAAGGACATTTAATAAATGATAAGTTAAAGTACTTAAGCCCTTCTTTTTTGCACTATCGCAGGAGTAGAAGCGGCTCACGAGATGGCAAATCTCGACGGGACCGCGGCAACGAACGCAGCACTCATCGGGACAAGGATAAAGAGCGCGATCGAAACCGCGACGGAGGAGACCGGGATCGACACCGCAGGGAAGGCGGCGATCGAGATCGGGAGCGAGAACGTGAGCGCGAACGCGAGAGAACTCGTCGCAGTAGATCGCGGGATGAGCGCGGTGGAGGTGGACGATACGGGGATCGTGACAAGGACCGGCGCTCTCGAGATCGTCGCGGCGGCAGCAAGTCGATGCAAGTGGATCGCTCGCGGGACAAGCGTCGACGCAGTCGTTCCCGCGATCAGCAGCGCAAACGGCTGAGTCCGATCCGTGAACGCAAGCGCAGCCATTCCCGCTCAAGGGATAGAAAGTAAGTTGACATCAAAACAAGATACCTTACCCTCTTTTGTTGGCTCTTTGTTACACGTCTTATTAATATAATTCTTACTAATTATAGCAGTCGACGTCGGGGAACCAATTCGCCACGACGGCGCTCACCAGCGAATGGAGCTGACCGCACCCCGCCCACCGAGCTCAGTCCTGAGGAGCGGGACGCCCGCACCGTCTTCTGCATCCAGCTGTCGCAACGAGTGCGAGCGCGTGACCTGGAGGAGTTCTTCTCCAGCGTGGGCAAGGTGCGCGACGTGCGTCTAATCACGTGCAACAAGACGAAGCGCTTCAAGGGTATCGCCTACATCGAGTTTGAAGATCCTGAGTCCGTGGCACTGGCTCTGGGCCTCTCCGGCCAGCGGCTGCTCGGCGTGCCCATCATGGTGCAGCACACGCAGGCTGAGAAGAATCGTCTCCAGAATGCTGCGCCCGCATTCCAACCGAAGAGTCACACGGGTCCCATGCGCCTCTACGTGGGATCACTGCACTTTAACATTACCGAGGACATGCTGCGGGGCATATTCGAGCCCTTTGGCAAGATCGATGCGATTCAACTGATCATGGACACGGAGACGGGCCGTTCCAAGGGCTACGGATTTATCACGGTGGGTTTTTGAGCTGTTCAATGACTTGTAGAGCGATTTAAACGACACCTTTTTTAATAAGAAATATCCTCTAAAGCATAGTTTGAATGGCTGAATTTGAGATAAAAAGAGAACATTAATTTAAACTAATTGCCTATTTATATTTTGCAGTACCACAATGCTGACGATGCCAAAAAGGCTCTGGAACAACTGAACGGCTTTGAACTGGCCGGTCGCCTCATGAAAGTGGGCAATGTGACGGAGCGCCTGGACATGAATACCACCTCGCTGGACACCGACGAGATGGATCGCACAGGCATCGATCTTGGCGCCACGGGACGCCTGCAGCTGATGTTTAAGTTAGCGGAAGGAGCCGGTTTGGCGGTTCCCCAGGCGGCTGCAAATGCGCTGCTGGCCACAGCTCCTCAACCGGCGCCAATGCAGCAGCAGGAGGCGGCACCATCGATAGCAACACAGTGCTTCATACTGTCCAATATGTTTGATCCTCGGACGGAGACAAATCCCACCTGGGACGTGGAGATCCGGGACGATGTGCTGGAGGAGTGCGCCAAACACGGCGGGGTGCTGCACATCCACGTGGACACCATCTCTCCCACGGGAACCGTCTACGTCAAGTGCCCGAGCACAACGACTGCTGTGCTGGCAGTAAATGCACTGCACGGACGCTGGTTTGCCGGTCGAGTGATCACGGCGGCCTATGTGCCCGTAATCAATTACCACACCATGTTTCCGGACTCCATCAACGTCGTCGATCTGGTGACGTCCACGCGCAAGAACACTGATGATTGATTTGAATGCGTGGACACAAATACTGTTAATATTCGTTACAAGAACTAATTTTTGGTCAAAACATTTTCAATTTTTTTAAAAGACTCGACGCAATCTGAAAATTAGGGGCACATATTAAAATACAAATATATATGAATTCAAAAATTTAAACACTTCTCAACTTGAACTAACTATGTCCGTAAACTATATAAATGTGTTTATGTGTATATTAGATTGCCTGAAATGCTGCAAGATCGTGTTACCCCAATGGAAAATTATGTAGTTTTTAGTGCTTAATTTGTAATTTGCTAGTTTGACCGCCAAAAATGTAAGGACACTGACCGACCGACCGACCTATCGATTGTTGGCTTGCACGGAGCTTGATTTTAAAACATTGGACATTGTAACATTTCCCATAATTGTTAAGCCTGTAGTTTACCATACAGATATTTTGTAGAAAAAAGAAACGCTAATCAAAAATAAATCGTGAAATCGGATGAGTATTGAGTTTCAAGTGGCGATAACGATAGACAGGTTCGCCTGATTATCGGTGCACAGCGATAGTTTCGAGTGCAGCCCTAGTTCTTGCATGTGTTGGGCAGCAGCCAATCGAAATCTGGCTAAATAAAATTAGTTAAACTCTTTGCTTTGCCAGCACAAACGCACACAGTACGGTTCACATTGCATATTTTAGACAATTAACCAATAGTAAACATTTTCCAATTACTGACGAGCGCGATGTTAAGTGCGGAATTGAGGAAAATTCCATGTGACCCCTGAATTTCGTGTGCGTGTGTGTTTGTGAAAGCAGCGCGGAGAAAAAAAATGGCAAACACAAGCCAACTACAACAAATGTAGGTACCACACAGCAACAACAATTAGAAGGGCTATTATAAGGGGCCGAAAATGAAAATTCAATAATTTGACGCCTTGACGCAAAGGTTAGTTTTTCTAAGAGCTGTGAAAATTATTATGAAATGTGAGAAGTGTGCGCCTGTGTGTTTTATAATTCCCGCACACACGCACAGCTGCGCCCCCGCAAATTTGTGTGCGTGTGTGTGCGAGTGTGTTCATTTTTTGACCTCCCCCAAGCAGCATCCCCCCCACCGCCCCTCTAAGCCAGCTGATTCATGCTGCTGGTGATAAATCAATGCTTTTAATCGAAGAAAACTATAAAAAACAACCACATGCAACATTAAACGGTGTCGTCTAATGACCCTGCCCCATTAAACAACAACAACAAGCGACGCGACGCGCTACTTATATAAGTGCAAAAGTATGTGTGTGTGTGAGTGTGCGTTTGAGTGCCAAAACAACGCAACTTTAACAAATTGCTTGGCTTTTTGGCAAGCGTTTGAGAATTGTCGTCGCTTGGAAATTAATTTTAGAGCATTATGCCATCCACGCTAGTGTTTTTGGCCTGACAATTGCGCGCTCTTTACGTCTAAAAGAAAAAGAAAGAGAAAGGAAATTTGAAAAATGCCTTCCTGTGTGTGAGTAATAGAATGAGTGTGTGCGTTTGTGACGGCAGCGCAGCTGCGGCGCTGCCAAACTATTACCGTTAGCCGGCGGTTTTCATTCACGATTTTCCGCTTTGTTGTTAATTCTAGCTAAAAGCGAATTCCCCTCTGTTCTTCGATTTTCTACGTGTTATGCAACGCAAAATGCAGCCCAATGGGCGAAAAAAAGAGCGCCATTGATTTTCCGCTGTTATCATTAGGCGGCTGTATCGCGATTTTGCGGGGAACACCTACCTTTCTCTTGGCGTCACATGCTAAAAACTCTGCTCTTTGTGCGTCATCGTTTAAAAGTCGTTGCGAGTTGCAAATTGAAAACTCCAATTCACACTCAGCTGTTCGCGATTGCTTCGTACACTGCGAGAATAAAGCTAGTCGATACTTAGTTCACATGCCATTGGCATTTTAAACAGTATATTAAGGGTATTCCGGATCCTTTTTTTTTTTTTTGCATTCACGTACTTATGATGACCATTATGATCTACATACATAGGTCATAAAACATCTGCGTCCACTGGTGAAAAAAAGTCCAGGTAGAAAACTCACCCCTTTTCAAATAAATGTTCACCTTTTTCAGTCTAAAAATTTAAGGTTTGAGTATCTTATCCTATTACTATTTGTATATATATTGGTGGGTATCATTTGATCATCAAACTAACCACTAGTAAACATTATTTCTTTCTGTGCTGTGTTTATTGACTAATTACACTTCCACTTCTTGTTCGCTCGTTTTTTTGTTATTATCACCGCGGTTTTTATGTGAGTCTCCGAGTGCAGGCGACGGGCCTCTGAGCACGTAGTCTATCCGTCCCACATGGTTTTGGACATCTCTTTGACTCTTGGATCTGCTCTTCGAGTACTCCATATTTCCGACCTCGAAAACGTCGGTATGACTCGACAAAGCTCGCAGACTCCACTCGATCAATAAGTTAGCCAAGAAGAATCAGTTAAGGCCTGCGCGGCGCTCAGGTCTCTACTTTGGTAGTTAAAAGTTTGCATTGAAGTATAAGAACATTTTCCTAATAAGTGCTAGCCGCAGTCTCAATTAATCGTAATTGTCAAACCGTAGTGGTATTAAGCATATTTTACATATAACTACAAAGATAATGTATACATAAATATCAGCGTATTAACGAAAATGAGTTATTATCTTGTTATTATCTTGTTATTAATGGATTGTTTTTTATCTACGTGAAAATCTAACTAAACTAAAACACAATCGAATCCATTCCATTGCCAAATTGTACCGTGTGGAAAAGGCCTAAACGCCTATTTCACAGAATTTCACGGGGTGTCTGCCTTTGCGACTGCCAATTTAGTAGTTGATAAATATTGGTCGAAAATCCTTTGACGTTTTGCTAATATTTATAGTGTTAATAATCATTCACATTCGCCCGCCGACTTTATCAGCCAGCAAATAGATAAGCAAAAGTCGCGTACGTTCGTTCCCCTGTTCGTTTGCTAGCAATGAACTCATTCGAATGTAAATAGCGAAAATAGAGTGGAAAAAGTCGCCTGGCAGCTGGCTTATAAGTTTCATGTGATTGCCAGCAAATTAACACAAGCCCGCCTTCTCCTTCTCCTCTCCAATTTCAGTTGAGCAACTAACCAGAAGCGGAACAGAGGAGGAGTTCCCAACCCTCCAAGTGGTGCCCACCCACCCCGAATCCCCAAATCAAGGAGTAACAATTCCACGACAATACTGTTATCCAGAAGCGATCACCATTTAATGCTATCCGCAACTTTGGGGGCCAATGGCGGCTCTCAGCCGCTCAGTCCCTCCGCCCAGGCGACGCTCAGCAAGCACCTGCCGCGCCTCCAGTCGAAGCGTCTCCTCCAGCAGACGCAGTTGCAGTCGCCGGCTGCCCCCAGACCACAGACCTGCGATGCCAGCTGCCTGACCGGTGAGCAAATCATTTCGATCTTTCCCACAGTCCGACTACCACGAGCTCAGCTTACACAGACTGAGTACTCTTCCATTGTGCAGCCACATGGATAAGCGTTTGGATTGATCAATTTAATCGAGAAGTCACCAATTCTCATTCCTGCACTGCTATTCAGGAAATTAACTCTCTGGCCAGAAATGGTTGCATTCAAATTAAGTTTATCAGCAGTAACGAAAAGCGAGCATTCTTCTGTGGTAAATCTGAGCATGGTAGTTGGACTGCAGGTGCACTCTAAACTACTTTTCTCACAATCGTGCTAATATACTGATATATGTTGTAATTTTCACAGAGCTATGCAGCAGCGAGAATCTGCCCGAGGTGGAGATTTTTTCGCTGCTGGAGGAGCAGATACCCAAGTACAAGGTGCGCAACGACTTCCTCACAAACTTCTCGGGCTATGCGAATGAGGACTGGTTCGTTCCGGCCCCAGCGCTGCCTATTCCGCCGGAGGGCCTGGGCCTGACCAAGGAGCAAACAAGAGAGTGCCTAAACTACTTCCGTGAGTTGCCTTTTACTATTATCTTTTACTATTATCTGTAGAAAGTCAAGTGCGTTTTCCATGACTAGATAACGAATGAGATCATCGAGAAGTCTTAAATATTATTTGAACTGAGACTTGTTCGATGCACTATTTATCTGTTTTACTTTATATTTGTGTGACCATATAGAGTTGAAATTCTTATTAGTAAAGGAATACATATTCCCATTTTTTTATTTAACGATATTATTAGGATATCACCAGTACAAAATTGCAAAAGCAAAACTATTGCAAGCCATAACTGGGTGAAGACCAAAGCCATTTATGACTTTCCTAATATATTTGTTTTTATGGCACTGGTCGGCTCTGGCTAGCTATACAATTGCCCAATTAATACAAATTTATCAGCGGAAACTTGTGCGGTCACCCTTTGAATCATTCATATTCAGTGCGAGTTATACAATCTGTATACTATATTATTCTCTATGTGTATTTGGTTTATGTATGTATCTTATATGTCTCAACTTGTAGTTTTTCTTTGGTTTTTTGAAATCCCCAATTGTTTTTATGCGTTTTTAAGTATTTTTCAAATTGTTTATCCACCTCCGCTTGACAGCAAAACGCAATTTCCTTTTATCTACGCAAGAAAGCAGATTAAAAATAAATTGCCATATATAATATATATTGTGCAGAATTCTTTTTGTATCACATGCCAATGTTTTCTGTCTCTGACATTTGTGCGAATATTATTGTTAATATTTCTTAAGCTCTTTTGGAAATGTTTAGTTCAAGGTTATTTATGGTTTTTGAGTTGAAAGCCATATGTATGATAATAGATACTTTGATTTAATAACTTTTAAATAATCTTCTATTGGCTGTAACAATGAAAAAGATGCCATTAATGCGCGCTTCTTTAGTAAGCAACAAACTAATTCAATCTTATTCGTGGTAATACTATATATAAATACTAAATTAAAAGTTTTATTTCCGAAATATATTAAACCCTTTCGATTTATCGATTTCCCGCGCAATTTCAACACTTGTTGCTGTGGACTCGAGGTAGTGTTGTGAAACGGCCGGGCACAGCTGTGGCCTGTCATTCGCACAAGATCATTGCCACATGACAGCGCCAACGAAACAGCTGAGTGGGGCCCGGCCGGCGGTCTGGCAACGCTGCGCGTGCTTTTCTCACATTGCCTTTCGATTTTGTCGGACGTTTGAAATCGGTGGGGAAGAAGGAAAAGTAATGGTGCTGCGCTCCGCGTGCTTGTGTGTGCGATATTTCAAATGTCTTAGCGCCGCCGCGAAATAAATACGTAAACCGAATTGTTTGTGTGCCAAAACGAAATGTAAGCGGTGGTCCGTTGGCGTTCGCCCCGTTAATAAATGCGAAAATTACGAAAAATTGCGAAAAATCTGTGTGTTTCGTTCGGCGTTGGCAGTGAAATTGTGCGTGTGCACGACTGGCATAATTTGCCAAAAATACTCGAAAAATATGTGTGCCAAAGAAAAGCAAAAAGGCACAAAATGGCAAAAAGGCGAGCCAGTGGCACTGCCGAAAAATCATTAACGCAAAATTATTAATAATATTGCTCATACGCGCTTCGTGCGCCAGAGCAGTTGGAATTTCTCCAAGTGCTTTTGTTCGTGCCGTCATACGAATTGAATTTATTTTTAGGACAACTATTGGCAGAGTATGTGTGTGTGTGGTGTGTGTGAGTGCTAAACTTTTTTTTCTTTCTTCATTTTTCTGTGAATTATGAAGCGGCAAATGCTGGCTGTTGTAAACATTTAAAGGGAACGCGCGTATTAATGGGTGGAGGCCATGGGCAGAGCTTGTTGGCTGTCAGCTTAATTTGTTCTTGCCGTTCAATGGGGTTTCTTCGCTTGCAGTTGTTGTCGTTCCGTCTCTTTACATAATCGTTTTTCCATGCCGTCTTTCGGTTTCGGTTTCGCTGATAAGAAGCGTTTTAATTCTATATGGCCCTCTATCGGAATTTCCCTCTATCTCTGTCGCGCATCGACATTCCGTCCCTGTCACTTCAAAAAACCAGCTGTTTGCCGATGTTTGTTTGCATTGGGTGTGTGTTCTTTCGATTGTACATAGTAAATATGTACATGCATACATAAATATGTACATATGTGCGCGGTGGTCAGACAATTTACCACGTATTCCCGCTAGACGAATTCACGACTTCCAGTTCTTCGACTGCAGCCGGTTTACAGTGATCCCTGGGTAAACAAAAGATGCTAATTTGTAGCACTCTGCTAAGAACACAAATAAGCAGAGCAAAGGTCCATCAATCCATGTGGATGTGATCAATTTTAATACAGTAAGACTTCAAAAATAGTATAGTAAAGTAGCGTTGGATACACAAATATCAATGAAATAAGGCATACAGCATTTGGTTTTGACACTGAATTTCCATAAAGACTAATAATGAGCCAAAAATTGTCAATTAGTCATTCACTTAGACCTTGTAGTCTTCACCTTCTAAAAGTAATGATTAATAAGCATGAATCACAGGGCATGGATCTCTGTTATACAATAGTTGATGACTTCTCCCATAGCCAGATATAACTGTACTCCATTGGCGTGGCTTCTTGATCGATCGGCATTACGTCGGTCAGTGGCTTTTCCGCATCAATCAACGGTTTATCTGGCTGAAGAACGCGTTCCGTTGGCTCATCAAGTGTTCCGCCGGCAACTAACCGCAAACTTCAAGAGCACCAAGTACAAATGTACAAATGGCGCTTGAGCTATGGGCCACGTTAAATGGACAGTCATAATCGCCCTGGCCATTGTGCTTTCATTGGTGCTAAGCCTGTGCCGCACCAAATTCCGCGCGAAAATTGGTGTCATGTTCGTTGGTCCTAAACTCGGGCACCCCAACAAGCAAAGAAAAGAAAAGCGGCAAAAAAGCCGCTTATGTGCGAGTGACCATGCTTCTTTTTATTCAGCAAACAATTGCCCGAGATGGTTTACATATTGTGACACACTTTCATTGCGTCACTTCGCAAAAGCACTGCACCTGCGAACATTCGTTCAATCCGCCGCTGTTTTCCTCTGTGTCACTGGCCTATTGGGGAGGACATTCACATTGCCCGCCGCTAATTGGTCCAAGAAAATGTGGCTCAAAGCGTTTTCCCGGTAATAACCACTTGATGCAACAACTACCCAGGCTATCACTCACTTCGCCTATCAATTGCAGCGGACGTCGAACTTCCTTGACTTTGCCGTTGCTCGTTATTGATCATCGGCTGTAAACAAAGCTAATTAAATATTAGCTGCTCTCAATGCAGATTTAAGCACCTGAAGAGTTCAGAAAGACCAGTTATCAGCTGGTGCTCATGGAGAGGTGAATTAGTTCAACATATTCCGAGTAAGAAATTGGTAGAACGTTTGACTATTGCTTATGGCAACATTCAAGTGGTTGGCTAAGCTCTAGAATGGTTGTGACTTGGACTGCATAAATTGAGTGCTTTTCAGTAACATTTCTTTCCATTTGTTGCGTCACATTTTGTATCTTATTTCTGATCTTAAGCTTATCCGTCGCAAAAGCAGGTAATCCGACTGCTTACGAATAAAGCTTTGCGCACTGCCCATCTTGTAGTGACCATAAAAAACTGCTTAAATGCACCGGACTTTTGCCAATAATTAATTACGAACAGCATTTGTGAAAGTTGATGTGATCCAAATACATCAGAAAAACTGAAAAAAAAAAAAAAAATAGATAACATGCCAAATAACAACTTAGTTGGCCTTATGTTACTGCTGCCGTTTTCGTTTCATTTTCGCGTGTACGAATTGATTGGGATGTTTGTTTTTGGGATGTTTGCTGCTTTTCCCTCAGCTATTCAGCTTTGTTCAGTTGTCTTTACATAATTACCCTACCCTGCGGCCCACGAATGCCCGATCGGCTATTATCTTCTCGCCCATTATACATATATCATATATCACATTTGGATTCAATCAGCCAATCAGCCAAGCTGTATGTGCTCATTCTTGTTGGGCCGCTCGTTTTGTCATATGTCATATGGTTTATGGTTTGCGGTTCATCTATGCGATAAAGTGATTTATTCCTCGGCTCCCTTCGAATGTTCAGTACCTGGAGTGCGGGAACGTGACTCACAGGTGCATACGCGGTGTGCATGTCGATGAACCTACAAATCCGCGACCAAATTGAGTTTTTTACGCAAAGCACAGTACCGCACTCAACTGCAGGGATGCAAAAAATTAATTTCAAGCTAAAAACGGTGACTCGGATCAGTTGACTCATCGCCGCATCTCACTCTGGGCACCAAGGCTTTTTGTTCGACTAGCCAGCAGCTTTATGTTGGCCATCTCATGTTGGCCGTTCATTTGGCACAACCGTTAGTATCTGAATCTAGCTCGGCAGTTATCTCAGCTGGGTTCAGCTCAATTTTCTTTCACTTCGCCCGACTGGCCGTCCGGCCTCATATATGATATTATGATCGAATCGAATGCTGGCTATTGAGAGCGTGAATGGACCAGCTTCTTGGGATGTGCACCATTTCCCACATTCTGTAGCGCAACCCACGCCTTTTTCCCACCTGAGTGGCGCGTTCTAGGTGTTGCGCGTTGGCCAGAGTTTTCCCAGCCACCTACGTGATCTTGGCCACGGACCAACTCCATTCGAACGCATCTCCCATTCCGGACAAGGCTAACTAATTTGTAAAACTCGTTTGCGCCCAACTTTCCTCAAGTGGCAGCCACTAAATCTCCGTCTTGCCCAAAGTCTGTCCACTCTTCTACTGCGCGTCGCGGTGTGAAGTCGTCGCAGTTTTGAAATATTTGTGATTTATTTTTTTCGACCGGCATTGTATGTAAATGCTGGGATTTATATGCGCACACAATTTGCCATTGTTGGTATTTTTGGGAAATGAGGCAAACATCTTCCGCAGATTGGTGGTGCCTGCTGCCTGCTGGTGGTGACTTACCTCATAATCCGAGAGTAACATTCGAGAGCCGGTCGAAAATAGCCTATCGATAAGTGCGATTCGGGGCGTAAAGATACGGATTTCTTTGGGGCACCTGCTGCGCAGTATTTTAACAAGGAATCAGACAAAGTTACTTACACACACGCACACCGAAACTCGCAATCTTTATAGGCACTGTATGCAAGCCTAATCCCAGAAAAGCTGTTAAAACAAAACTTTCAAATTCCCAGTTAGAAGTTAATTGTTCGTGTGTTCAAATACATGTTTTAAGTCGAAATTCAAATTAAAAAGTTCGCGCTGAAGCCAAGCAAACGATGTACGTAAAGCAAAATGCCACTCCTCAACAGTGCAATGCGAAGTAAACCAAATCATCAAGAACCAGAGCCCCATCAGCATGCCATCAAGAAGCTGGAGGCCCTGCCCATAATAGTCGAGCAGGAGGCGGACGATTATGGGCTAACCTTCAGGAACGGCAACCAGCTGAATAGCACCTTTTCCGTGGACGCAGAAGCCGGCAGTTCGTCGACCTCGCTGGTCGAGAGCAAGTCGAGCAGCTCCCTGTGGTCCACCGCCTCCGAGGACTCCCTGAACGCCACCCTGATCACCAGCCAGCCGTCCAACTCCAGCAAGCACTTCGAGAACACCTACAAGCTGCTGGGTCAGCACCTGGATACCAATTGCCAGCGCTCGGCGGACAAGCGGCAGCAGCTCAATGGCTCTGCGAGCGATTTCGATAGCCTATCCAGCTGCTCCTCCATGTCGGCGATCGTCAACGGGATTGAGCCACCGCCCACGCGCCTGGAACTGGAACTGGAGGCAGTGGATCGCATGCGCTGCATTGTCCAGCAAATGAAATCGGGGCCAAAGTCGATGGATCCACCGCTGGGCGTGTCGGCTCCTCATCTGGCCCTGCTGCACGACTTCGCCTCGAAGGGACAGCGAAAGGTGGAGGCCAGTGTTCCGGGCACTCCGGTACCCAGTCCGATAGCGGGCGTGCTGGAGGCACCGCACTTCGAGTTGCCACAGGAGCTGCTGCAGGCAGCCAGCAGTTGGGAACTCATGTACTATGCCTCCAAGAACGTCGATGGCAAGAACTGCCTGAAGGTGGTGCGCAGTCTGCTGACGAACAAAGGTAAGGGTTTATAAATACGATGTTTCTGGAGGTTCGGTTCTGTTTCCGTTTCCAAGCTGTATTTTCTGAACTTGTAGCCTTGCCTATAGGCAATGTCAAGTATCTGATAATTGAGGCATTAAGATAACATATAATCCATCACTACTCATGGCACAAGAGATAACAATCACTGTAGTGGATAAGTGCGTGTGCGATAAGTACACTCGCAAAAGTTTCCGATTTGATGCGCCTTTTAACATCAATTAAAGTTATAGCTCGTCCAAAACACGACGTATGTAAATCAATATAAATAATATAAAAAATCGAGCTTGCCACAGTTTTATTGCATTACACCAATCAAATACTTTCCATGTCTATATTAAATTAGTAATATTTTTATCTCGTGCAATCGGCAATGATATCTCCCTGACCGATATTCTTACAAATAGATTAACTTAGATTGTTTTGTTATTAAGGTATTTTGACAATATGGGCTCACACTTTCGTACTTTCTTTACTTATCACTGAAGTGCAGGCTGCATGTCTTAGCCTTAATTTGAGCCTATCTTATCGGAGGTCTTTTGTATTTTTCCAATTAATGAACTTTATTGTTGTTTTGCCTGGTTATTTTTGAGTTCTTTCGTTGTGGTCGACGTGTGAGCAAACACGACAGCCATTTTTTGCACATACAATATGATTCCCCATTTCTGCCTATTTATTTTCCTTTATTTCGACGAGTGATGTTTAGACTTTGTATTTGCTTTCGATATACTACATGGATCGTGCCGACTTGTTGAGTCTGCCATATTGATATTTGCACAACTTATGATGGCTTTTTGTTCACTCCTAAAATCGCCTATAGACGATTTTAGCAAGTTCATTAGAAAAACTATCGAGTTTGAGGGGAACGAAGGGCAGGATGGCGAAGAGCACATGATCTCATCTTGTGCCTGGGATCTTTATTGCTAGGGCCGCCATTATCTACGCAAGTTTGTATTAATTTAGTTTTCCAAATGTGGAGAGGAGCTTTTTCGCCTTATCATCTGTTTGCCAGACACACTATCTTGGCCGATTGATTGCGGAAAAAGCTCCAGTCATTTATTGCCATTAATGCAGGCAAAAAGGCACATGACATTATTGTCTTGAAATCATCACTGAAGTTCTATTAGCGTAAAGCTGCCAAAAACCCATTAAGTACAGTTTTATGACTTGCACGTAGGTGGGTTTCTCTATATCTTAAAAACTAATCGAGACACTATACTAAAGTGTTACAAACAACTGATTCCCTTATGGGATTTTAATGTACCCGGCGCACATGACTCATCTTATTAATATCAATTGTGGGATATGTTAATGAATAAAATGTATAATGATATGAAATGAATAAAGGGAGCAAGGATAATGGTACGGTACAACTTCCATGTATTCATTCATTTATAGGTTATACTATAAAATAAAATGCTAAACGCAGACGCAAGATATTGAGTTTTCTTTCCATTTTTATGACTGTCCGACGCGTGCTGTAAATCATTAAGTGGAACATTAGCAGTCACAAACTCAAAGTAGATTTTTAATTTTTAGAGCACAGTCCGGAAGATCGTAAGTCAGCTAATCCGATCCATCGGTGATCCTATACTATTTCATTTTGTGCAATAGTTTTCTACCTGATTTATCTACATACATACATATGTACCTAAATAAATGTTTTGAAGTTCTTGGAAATACGTCTGAAATAGCTACGCAGAAAATTACCCGCGTAGTTTTTCGCGCCCTAACCATGAATGGGATTAGGATTAGGCGAAAAATGGTTCCGGTTTTTAGTTGGAGTTTTCTATATACTCGCTGTTTACCTGAGAAATAGGAAATATGATATATTGTGAGGGGAAATAAACAATTGGCAAAGGGATTTGATGGCCAGGGGTCGCTTATGGAGGGTATGTATGTAAATGTAATTCAACCATCCCTGCTATCGAAGTATTTATGTATATTTCGCATTGAATAGTTACGCAGTATCAATAAGCCGACCCTCTTACACCATCGCTATTTGCCTTTTTGGGCTGGCAACACTGTACCGCTCTCTTACTCTCCCATTTGCTCTCCCCAAGTGTGGATGGCATGGTGGTGGATGTGGATTTCGATTCCAATACAACAAACCAAATTCATTCACTCTTGGCTTCCACGCCTCGCGTTTGTCATTCTCTCGAGTATCTGCAATCTGTAAATTACACAATTTGTGCAAAATCCGAACGGAAAACTAAAACAATTTGTGCCAAACAATTTGCCAAAGTCAAGGAGTTGAAATTTCGAATAGTGCGCTGCATGCGGTTAAAGATATAATGAGCAATTCGAAACGTTTGCAAGCTGCGGAAAGAATATAAAAAACAGCACGCAAAAGACGTAAGAAGAATTGACTGTATTTGTGTGTGTGTACCGTCACGAGTTTGGAGCGCAGTTTTCGCTTGTCTTCTTCTTTCCATCTATATTTGAAGTTTTCGCGTTTATAAGTTTTTTGTTGTGCACGGGTTATGTCTCTAACCTTTGGACTTTTGAACTGCTATTATATATTTTTTGTGAAGTGAAGTGAAACGAGGAAATATTTAGCAACATGTGAGTTTACCAAAATTGTCTTGTAGTATTTCCATTTAGAATTCCCAGCTGTAACCGTAACTATTGCCATTTCCCTTTCACTGGAAATGTCTTGGGGGAAAACGCCTTTTACTTTAAGTGCTGCTGCAGTTGTTGTTGTTATTGCTGTTTCTATTGTTGTTGCTGCCTGCGCTGCCGGTTCTCCTCGGTCGACGTCGACGTCACAGCTGCCATTTGAGTGTGTGCGTTTGGCCGAGCAAGAAGTTCCACTTCCAGTTTCCAAGCTGCGCTCATGGCTATTTATAAAAACAAAAACAGAAAAGATAACATTGAGCCAGTCAAGCGAGGTTTTTTTTGTGCTTTATATATATTTTTGGCCAAGCGAAATCTTTGAAAGAAATAAATTAACGAGCTGCAAGTGATTTTGCGCATGCTCCGCGTTTAGTGGGTGGCAAAGAGAGTCAAAAGTGAGAGGGAGAGAGTGGGAGAGAGCCGCGCGATGACAGTTATTCATTTTCTCTTGTGACTCTGAACAATTCGCATTAATTTAGCAATTAGTTTTAATGTTTACATTCACCGAGCATCAAGGCAATTGAATAAAAAACTACAAAATCATGTGACCCCCGGCCCGGATGAAAAGAAATAAAAGGAACGGAAAAACGGGGTGAATTACGACGAGGGAAAAAGAAAACACCCCTATATGTACCGCCAAACAAGCCGAAAGTGCCTAGACGGAATTTGTAAAATGCTTTAAAAATTACATAATACAAATCGAAGAGGAAATCGTCAACGAACCGATTTAAATTTAAATGTGCTTAGATCTAAAGCAGGAACGCTAAGTGACTAAGAAAAAAAAATTGCCAAAGAAAACGAAAGAAATCAACAAAGACAAAATGACGCACGTAAACAACAGGGAAGAAATGGAAAAGGAGATGGAGCCAACGGGAGAGCGAGAGAGAGACAGGGAGACTGCTGCCGGCAGCGGGGTCCGTCATCGATTTTTAGCCAGTGCATCGGAGCGAGATGCCAATAGCAGGAATGCATTGGAAGCTGCAGCGACAGCAACAACAGCCACGACAGCCACAACGATTACCAACTTGGAAGACTTGGCCTTCGAGGCATGCCAAAATTGGTCGGAATTGCACCAAGACTTCTTCATCACGGACGATGAACTTGAGTACGAGGATGAACTCTCTTTGGGCAGCAGCATTGGCAACATTGCAATAACAACGGCAGCAGATGCAGCAGCAGATGCTATAATAACGGGAGAACAGCAGAACGAGCAGCTGCTGATGGAAGGTGCTTATGCTATAACTGTTAAATCGATGAACCCAGTCCAGTGTGGAGCTATTGCATTCTTTACCAACACTGTCAGACGGAGCCTTTCTTAAAGCGACTCGCTACAGTGAACTTTTGAAAACTGTGGATGTTTACTGAAACGACACAGTAAAGAGTTCCTACCTTGAACAACATTTTTGTACATTAACAAAAGTTTGTGAAAAGATTTCTAATTTCACTTGTGGCTGCATTGTTAGAAATATTTGTGTACTTATCTATACAATATTGAGAAATGTATCTTCTCGATATATTCTCGAGTATATTCTCAAATTTTGGGGAATGTAGTTTTTTTTTTAAACACTGTCAAACAGACCCTGCCGAACAAATTGCCATTATTTTCTACGAATATACATACTTAAACATAGTTATTGCATCTATTGAACTGCGTTTATAGTTACATAATTATTTGGTTATTATATATTTTATAGTTCTATGCGGCAACCGCGTTAGCCAGATGACTCGGGCGTACGATGACATTGAGGCCGTGACGCGACTGCTGGAGGAGAAGGAAAAGGACCTGGAGCTGACCGTTCAGATTGGCAAGGAGTTGCTCACGCAGAACAATGCACTCGAGGCACGGGTCGCGGATCTGGAAACCGATCTCAAGGCCTCCAACGACGATCGCGCCCAGCTGGTTCACGAGCTGCACAAGAAGAACGAGCTCATCTCTGTGCTTACCAACGACGCAGATGATGGCACAGATACTGGTGAGTAAAACACAGATAACGTAATCTATATGGGTAGATAAGTGACCAAAAGATCAACGTTGAATAACTCCAATAGCACTTAATTCGTGATTTAATGACTAATTATATTTAATTGTTGCTCCACAGACACTCCCACCATGTCGAAGTCTATAACTTTGGATCTACTGCAGCGCAAGGTCAACTCTCTGCTTGACGAGAACAAGTCTCTGAAGTCCGAGGCCACTCAACTGGCCCACCAGACGGACGAGGTAGAGGAGCACGAGCGCCAGCTGATGGCCGATATCAGTGCTCAATTAAGCGATGCCAATTCGCAGTACGACAACCTCAGTTTGGAGTTGGAACGGCAGCGGGAGGAAAACCGGCTGCAACATGAGCAGATCGTGAATCTGACCGCTCGCCTGGCGGAGGCGGAAATGCGGTTGCACCAACTGACGCAAGACAACGACGAACATCTCTCACTGCTTCACGTGACCAAAGAAAACCAAAATGCTTTGGCACTGGAACTGGTGGAGTTTAAGCAGCGTTACGAAGAGGTGCTCGCTCTGCTTCACTCTGCTCAGGATCAACTGAAGCAGCAGCGAAAGCGGTCGCAGCCACAGGCCAGGAGCTCATTCCTCGGCGGCCTTGGAACGAGTGGCGCTGGCATGGGCGGTAGTCTCTTCGCTCCGGATTCGCTGCACTGCGAGCTTATGGAGTCGTCCCTGTACTCAGAGAATAGCCTAGACTCTGGCATATCCGGCGATAGCCAGCGAGCAGCGGATCGCATAAGCCGCATGATGATGCACATGCCGTCGGGCGGCATGAGTTCGTCCACCATGGGAGGTAGCGTGTATGCTGGAGCTGGCAATGTGCCGCCTTACAAGCGGGTGTTCGATACAGTGCGATGTGCCGGCAAAAGCGGCAACTACATGGACAGCGGCAATGTGTCGATGACCCAACTGGGAGCCATGTCGATGAGCAGCTCTTCGGGGCCGCGCATGGCTTCGATGGCGTATCCAGCGGGCTCTTACTATCGTGGCGGTAGCAATCAATCGCTGGGAGTTAAAACTCTGTCAAGCGAGAGTCTCAACTCCCAGTCTGATGACGGCTATCCAGCCCAGCCCTCTGGTGTGCCAGGAGCGCCCGGCGCCAAGGAGCTGGAGGCGGCTCTCAAGAGGCTGACGCCGGCTGAGGTCTTGGCCCGCCGTGCTATGTTGTCCTATGCGCCGGCTGGAACCTATAACTACGACGAACCCATAGGTCACGGAACAGGTAACGCCCGAAACTCGGACCTACCTCTGGGCGTGCGCACGCCGGACAGTATCATGTCAACCGGCTCCTCGGGAATGTCGGGGTCCACGAATCACATGTCCGCCTCGATGACGCACCAGTGGCGCCTACCCGAGAAGCTGCAGATCATCAAACCCATGGAGGGATCGCAGACCTTGCACCATTGGTCGCGCTTGGCCACGCCCACGCTCAGTGGACTGCTAGACGAGCGTCCCGGCGTGACGATCCGTGGTGGTCGTGGGTTGGACGATCTGGGAATGCAGATCTACACGCTGTCGGACGTAGAGGAGGATGTTAGCGATGATCTACCCGGCAAGCAGTTTGAGGCACCGGGCTGCACGTTCACGTACACCAACAGCATGGTCATGCATCCGGACGACGGATTCGTTAACGATCTGTCATTCCTCTCACAGTCGCAGATGTCGTCTCGAATGGCCTCCACGTCGACGTCCAGGCAACCCAGGTTAGTATAAAATATTATTCGAGCTTCTATAAATGTAATCCTATTACTTAAGGTTTGTGGGATTTATATTAGTTCATGTCATTATTTATTTCGTAGAAATAATGAATCGTTATATAGTCAACACATGTGCCAACTGTCATGTTTTTGACACTCGTTTCCTTTTCTTGTTTTTCACGCATTATTTGTAAGCCCGAATTCTAATTCTTTGCCTAATCTCACTTTCAGTTGTCCTGCCACGCCGCGTGCTGGATTGTCGCGCAAAAATTCCTGCTCCACATTTTCGGTGAACCTCGGACTCGCTGGAATGCTGAACGAGAGGGGCATCAAGGCGGTGACGCCCAGTGCCCTCAACACGCCCGCCGGTCCCAACTTTACGCCCACGGTGACGCCATGCAACAGCCCAGAGGGATCACCTCCTCGCGCCCAGTCGCCCGAGCCGCTCTTTGGACTGCTCTCGTCTGGGGCAGATCTGATCCGACGGAAAATCGTAGGCGATCAGCATCAGCAGCAGCAACAGAAGCAGAGGAGCAGCCTTAGCAAGCAGCAGCAGCAGAAGATCATGCTGTCGCACCTGGAAAGACGGGCCCTGCGATCGCTGAACTTGATTGAGAAGGTGGAGAGCATTGGACTGGAGAACATAATAAGCGCACAGAGAGGCCTTGGCTCAGGAATCGCCAACCGCAGCAGCTCGCCCCTGAGTAGTGGTAGCCTGCAGAGTCTCCACACCAGCAGCAACAGCATTGTGGACGACATACACTTCGATCGGGCACAGATCAAGGGTGTGCTGCATAGAGGCCTGAAGTCGCCCACGCCCGCTACACCATCAACATCAGCTGCGGCGGCTGCAGGATTAGTTATATCGACCAGCAGCAGCACGAGCGCTTACAACAGCGATGACAGCGACGACCAGGGTTTGGTAATGAAGATCAAACCGTCGAAGAGCGCGAAACCCACAACAACAGGAGCAGCACAAAGTCAGCCAAGCTCAGGGGCGAGTGCCCAGACGACGACATCCAACGGCACGGCGAGCGAAACGCGACTGAAGCAGATGCAGCGCCAGAAATCGCGCAGGCAGCTAAAGAACGGAATGGCTAACCAGCGGCCTGACCTGGGCACAATTTCTGCTGCCGGAGGAGGCGGACGAGTACGTCCCGATCTGGGAAAGGTAGCCGACAGTGGCAGCAGCAAGCTCAGCACCACCAAACGAAATGAGGCTAAGCCTGCGGAAGAGGAAGAGGCGACGCCACAGACCATCACACAGGCGTTTGTGGGTTCAGTTAGTTCCTTGCTTTTTGGCCGCAAGGGCGGTTGGCTGTAAAACGAATAGCTAATCATTCACAACCTTATTCTTACGCTTGCTGGACTATAATTTACTTTTAAAGGAATGGAAAGATGCCTTTTGCGAGTAAAATAACATTTTTATTTAAGCACTTCGCGAGAACAAGTTGAATAACGAAACGTAATGTAATCGTGTGATGTACGTTTAGTTTAATTTTTCTGTTTAAAACCCCGCATAATGCCTGTCATCGCCACCATAAGCAACACTGGAAAAAGGTTTTAGTGTTTGTAGCTGTGATTTGTAAATACATATAGAGAAATGTTTAAATTTAGTGGTTATTAATCAAGTACTTCGCATATTATTATAATTTTTGCATCAACTGACGGCGGCAATATAAGAACAAAACGAGGGCCAGTTCGTTAGAAACCGAGTTCCAAAGCAGCTATTTTTAATTTACACTACATTTTGCCAATTTTGTATTTATTTTCCCTGTGTTTATTACCACTTAAACGAAAACGAAACCAAGTATACATTTATTTTTATGATTTCGTTGTGTATAGGGTCAAAGCAGGTGCAACGTTGTATATAGAAAGAACAAAATGAGAGAAATCAATCTGTAACTTGAATGTGGTTAAGCAAAGAGGTACATATATATTTTTTTACACGCGTATATAGTTTGCGTTTTTCGCTTTCCACACAAGAGACGTACTCCGTAGCCCCTCGCCTCCCCACTCCACCCAAACCTGTATCACAAAGGTCATAACTCAAAATGCTATTGCTTTGACTTAAATCCTAATTCGGTGCTAATGGCGCCACCATACGAAAATACATCAATTATAGTGAAAAACTAATTTTTTCTAGTCCTACACTGGGTGGGTGCTCGTTTGGCTATGCACAACTTCAGAGCATAGCTTCAAAACAGAGCGCACTTAGCCCGAGACACAAGAACTTAAGAGCACTGAACAAATGTGTGAAGAAATCCGTATAAATAGGTTCATCGATAGAGAACCGCATCCAGTAAGATCCAAGATCCAGTAATAAATGCACTATGGCCAACCAACCAAGCATTAGCATAAACGGACACATGTTATCCAATCACTCGCGAACACACTAGCTCGCAGTTATAGTCTATTAGCAGGATTCTCAAATCTGAAGTGTAAAGTTGAAGATCAGATCAGTACTTTTGTTATTTTTACTTCGAGTGGTTTTAATTTGAAGAACGAAAATATCATGGAATAAGAATATATCGATTAAGATCAAGAAGTAACATATGTTTATTGGAGTTGTACGCCTTTTTCGAGGATTTTTGTTTAATAGCATTTCAACTGAGGAGTTGGCATTAAAAGCTAATCGAGTGCGTGCCCTAAAGCGTAAATTATACAAACATTTGGAATACAGAAAGGAATGTAAAAGTTATTAGTTTTAATTATCAATATATTTATTTATATCTGCAAAATAAAGAGAACATCGTTAAATACAATTTGGTTAAAAGAGTTTTCTTCGGCATTGGTATGCAACCAAATATAGGTAAATGGAACACTAAAAATCAAAAATGAAAAAAACATTACATTTATATTTCATTATAAATCAAAATATTTGGCTCAAAAAATTGGATTCCTTTAAATTTACTGGAGTTTTCACTTGAGGGTTTTACTTTATGTTGCTTATGTTTTCAATCGGTAGATCTCACTTTTCAATGGTGAAATAATAACAATGTTAAACAAACCGTTTTTCAATTTTCAAACATTTTGAAAAAGCCGCCAAGCTAGATTTAACTTTTCGAAAATACCAAAACCTACCGCAACTGTTAGTGCTTGCAGCCGAGTGCGAAACTGTTCAACACTGCTACCCATTTCGGCACGTGCTGGGTGTGGACACACTGGCACGCAGCGAGGTAAACACAACGCAATATTTCGTCGGAATTTCACCTGGTTTTCACCTGGTTCGTCGCGCAATAAAACCGCTTAATTGTGCCGAAATCACGGCACAGATAATGCGCGAGTCAATTGGAATACGGCGCGATGAGATAATCGGTCGATTGGGGCGGCAAATGGCAACTGCGTGTCAAGTGGAAAATAAGTGAACGGTGGGTGGAGGGTTGGCTTTCGTCAAACAAGAAAACAAAAACAAAACGCGCAGCCGAAAATCGGCAACAACAAAAGCGAGTGAGAGAAAGGTGCGCGAAATTCACCTGTCCCCTTGGGCCGATTAATTGATGACGTGGAAGCGGACGAAGGACGCAGGGCCACAGGATATATACATATTTTCCAGTGCACATGCACATGCATGCTGCACACGCACGCACACACACTCACACACACTAGCGCCCATGCAGAAAACCAGTTGTTTGGCCGTTGTGTTTGCTGTTGATATTGCTGCTGCTGCTGTTGCTGCTGCTGCAAATGAGAAGTGCAAGTGAAGCAGCAGCAAAAATCCTGCTCTTGAAGTACAAAGCGAAGAAAAGGAGAAAATAAATAAGCGGAAAAGGGCCGAGAAGGAGAAGGAGGAGAAGGTGCGACAACGACAAAAAGTTGTTTGTCAACTTGTTGCCAATGTTGCAGCCACAAAGTGGCTGGCTGTACAAACAGCAGCAACAAAAACCCAGCATTTGGCATCGGGCGAGTCCAGGCGAAAGTCCCAGGCCCTCGGCAGGATAATAAGGAGCACCGAAAACCGAAGCACGAACAGGTGGAAAGGGCCAGGACATCCTTTCACTCGGGTAAGTTTGTCCAACGCAAGTGATATGCATCAGTTTTTTTAATACATTTCCCTATTTTCCTCTCAGCTTCAAATCAGGAAACTACTAAAACACCTTGCATACAGGTGGTACAGAAAGAAATCCATTCGATGGCATCAGGATCTTAAGAGTAATTCGAAAAAGATTTGAAAGTGGAAATCAGGAAATAGATCACAAGTGACATAGGATTCTCCACGAATTCGGCGTTCTAATTGGGTCAGTTTAAAGTATTCTCTGTGTGAATCTTACTTAATTCTTCTTTTCGCATTTTGCTAAAGCAGGCTTATTGGATAACTTGCCTAAGCCATCCGTAGAAAACTTCATAAGAGTCTACTGCACCTTAACCAGGAGAAGGAAATCAGCTTGTGGTAAGAAAAGAGCAATTTAGAGAATTTACAATCAAGAAATCAACATTCTTACATCCTTAAAGCCATTCCTAATACCACATACTTTCCCTTTCAGCTAAACATAGCATTTTGAAAGTCTAAAGTATTACAATATTATGAATAAAACGTTAATTAGTTCCCTTTCGTATTTGCAGTGAAGGCACTTTTGTTCCAGTAAATCATTTCGGCAATTAAAAGAACCCCTGCGTGCAATCATGTCCACGATTACCAGAAGCGCTAGTGCGAGTCCCATGGCGCTGAACGGCATCATCGATGCCAGCCTGTTTCCCCTGAAGTCCACGGCCGATGTTATCAATCTGTTCCGTCGCGCACTAACCTCTGGTATCGAGCCTGATCTCACCCTGCTCTCCATCGTGGTTGGCTACATCGAGCTGTCCTTGACGACGGGAGAGGCTGCTGCGCAGGCCGCTCAAGCTGCCGCCGCCGCTGTCGCAGCAGGTGACATTAGTCAGGCGACGACAGGTGTGTGTTGCACCCCGTTCATCACTTCCTATTACCTTTTACTGCTCGCGTTTACCGTTAAGCATTTAGCAAAGGGTGACCAGTTAAAACGGAAGCGATTGCTGGCAAATTGGAAAAGTTTCTGCTTCCTTTTTGGTGGCTCACTTCGAAATTGCAGTCAACACTGAAGTCTATTAATTAATTGTACATTTCGAATCGCAGGTGGGAATGACATCATCATGGGCAACAGCGTCCCGTTTCCAGTTGTAACTCACGAACTGATCGCCGGCCTGTATAAGAAATTCCAGACGATCCTGTCGGTGGTCGAGAAGCCCAAACCCCATCGCCAGGCCACCCGAGAGGTGATCAAGAAGGTGTCGGATGTGATTTGGAACTCGCTGATCCGCAGCAGCTACAAGGATCGGGCTCACCTGCAGAACCTCTACAGCTACCTGTCCGGTAACAAGTTGGACTGCTTCGGAGTCGCTCTGGCTGTGGTGGCGGGATGTCAGTTGCTCGGCTACAAGGACGTGCGACTGGCCATCTCCGAGGATCACGCTTGGGTGGTATTTGGCCAAAAGCGCGTGGAGACAATCGAAGTGACATGGCACGGCAAAGGGAGCGAGGATAAGCGGGGGCAGGATATTCGCCCCGGTATCGAATCCGGATCATGGCTATACTTGGGTAAGCTTGAATCTATGCAGGCGTACCACTCTTGGCCGCCATTCACAAATTAAACAATGCATTGTCTAACACACCTTTTCCTCATTTAGGTGGACTGGCGGTGGTCTGCGAGCGTGGCATGGAAGTGGCGGCCATCTGTGCCGCTCTGAATATTTCATTGACCTCGAACAGTGACTGCGTGGAGGTGGCAGACCTTCAGCAGCAGCTGCTCTGGCTACTCTACGATTTGGGCCACCTCAAACGCTATCCGATGGCCCTGGGAACTCTCGGCGAGCTGGAGGAGATTCATCGGACGCATCCTAGCATCAGTTGTGAGCAGTTATATCGCGAGGCTATTGAGTCAGCGAGGACTCACTACCGGAACCATCACGTGTATCCGTATACCTACCAGGGAAACTACTACAATCGATTGCTCAAGTACCGAGACGCTTTTGCGGCATGGGCAAATGCGGCGGACGTTATTCGCTTGTATACGTACCAGTGTCGTGATGACGAGGAGATATACAAGGAGCTGTTGGACATTGCCAACGAGCTCATACCGTACGTGATGAAAACGGAGAGTTCAGGTCATTCAGCGAGAAGTATTCTACGAGACTCTGAGGTTTTCGCCAATTTGCTGCGGTTCTACGATGGCATCTGCCAGTGGGAGGAGGATAGCTTGACTCCAATTCTGCATATCGGTTGGGCCAAGCCATTGGTGAATAATATCACCAAGTTCGATTACGACATTAGGTCCCAGGTGGTCATCAAATTGCCCGAGGATCTGGAGGCGGAGCAGGCGAAGGCGGAGCAGGCGAAGGCGGAGCAGGCGAGGGCGGAACAGGAAGCCAAGGAGGCTAAGGAGTCAAAGGAAGCCACAGGATCAGAGGCTTTGGAAGGCAATAACAATAAGCTGGTCACAAAGGAAGAGGTAAGCAGACTGATAGTTCACTTTAAGAATTTTATTAAGCAATTAAGTTCCCAAATTTGAATGATCAAAGAGTTTCAATTTGAAAATTCCTTGAAGTTCGTTTTCTTTCATTTGGAATAACATTTTGCAACAATATTTTTTTATACTTTTTTATAAAGTAAAGTATTAAAATGAAATCCGTCGACTGGCATTTATTAGCCATTTTTATGTTTAGATGTCGTACATTTTGAGGGGTATAAATTGCACTCGCCACCGCAGCTTTTGCAATGCACCTTAACCCTTTTCCTCAACATATTTCCCGATCCACTAGACTGGGAATTGTATCTGAAAGGAAGGGTATGCTCATCGCATCCAGAATGTAGCCTCGATGGTCCTTTGTCCTTTAAACTATGGGGAGAAAATTCCACGCAAGTCTGAAATTGTTCGCTATGCCGAGGAGGCATTTTATCCTTGGCGGATCCTTCTACATTACATGTATCTATTGAGGTACGTGGAGGCACTTCAACCATTTTTGGATTCTTCTGGAAAAATGTATTTAATTCGCTAACAGCAATATCTGGTTTATTATAGTATTTCATCAACAAATACTCCACAGCCTCCAACTTCTTGGTCAGTATTTCATTATCAATCTGTAATCTTTCTAACTGGCGTTCCAGATTGTCGACCGTATGAAGCTTGGATTGCTGATCCCCTGCTTCCTGATTGTACCTTTTGCACAGAGGGCTCCCACACTTTACTTGGATTTCTGGACCCTGCCTTGGAATTCCTGGGGTGCTTGACTGTGTGCCATGAACTTTCTTTACGTTATTACGATTAGGCACCAACCGTTCCAACTCGTCTTCGCTTTCCGAAGGCAGGGAAACGTTCTTGCTTTCGTCGAGGAAGTGCGAGGTTTTTGAGATTTTCTTGGTCTTCGACGGTTTTGGATTCGGCTCTTTGGTTTGCTTTTCACGCTGAATATTTTTAAAGATGCCCGTTTTAGAGGCTCGAATATCTAGGCTATTTCGCCTCTCTAATTTGGCAGCATTTTTAGTATAATTAAAGACCATCGACTGACACTTGTGCATGGCATTCATGCCTCCAGTTGAGGAAGGGGCTACATTTAAGATTTTGTTCAGCCCGATTGGCGAGCCTTTTCTCACCTTTTTGGCATCGTATTCCTTCTTATTGTCGTTCGTTTTAAAGAACTTGTGCATCCAGTTGCAGAAGTCCACGTGATTGTGTCCCGCAATTAACTCATCCTCCGACATATACCGCGTTACTCTTAGTTTCTCAATGCTATTTTGCAGCAACCGGAAATTCGCCTTGAAGTCGCTTGTGCTGCTCGTATAAAACCTGACTTTTTGAATTGGAATCGTCTCGGGGTAGAGTCTGTGCATCAGCTGACAGTATACTGCTCCTGTCTTAAGATCATCCATGCCACGCAATTCGCAGTCCAGGGTGTTGTTTAAAAAGATCAGCAGGCTTCTGATGGAGACCACCTCGTTTTTGTGCACGACTACATTTTTCGGCAGATCAATGGTCTTTTTGCCCGAAACTGACATGGTACTTAGTAGGATTCGGTTATCGCAAAGGCTTCAATCTGTTAGTAAAGCCGATTTCAGTTCTTTAAACTTTGGTTACGCAATCTGGCTCTTAAATCGCATTGGCTGATGGTTAGAAGGAGTAAAAGGAAATTAATTGTAATATTTAATGCTAAGTTGTTTAATGTGCAGCTATTCTTACCGATTCTGTGTTTTAGGTAATGTTGATTGTAGGGTAGTGCTAGTACTGTGCTTTATTTTTAAGAGAATTCTGAGATGGAAGAAAGCAAGCTCACAACCTACCATGATTGGTACTCCAATAAATGGGTTCAAAGTTATTCATATAATTCTTTCTCTTTGACAGAAATCCAAAAGTTCAGAGCTGCCGACTACCTTGGCCGATTTAACTGCTGCCTGCGGCGAGAAGATTCTCAATCCGGACTTCCTGCTCCAGGGCGGAGGACAGCCGTTCGCCGATCAGAAGCAACCGCCTTCTGGCGGCGAATCCGATAGTGCAGAGCTTCACAATAATAACAATAACAGCAACAGCAATAACAACAACCACAATTCGGACAAAAAGGAGACCCCAGCCACCACAACGACCCCAACTACCACAAGCAATGGCAGCGGCACCTCTGGCCAGCTGCCCGTTTCTAGTGAGGCCAGCAATGCTGGCCAAGCACAATCCCAAGTTCAAATAAATGACCAACAGGGAAAACCACAGCACAAAGAAGCTAAAAAAGAGGAGACAAGCGACGACTACGATCCCTTCGAGATAATGCTCAAGCGGCCAGTCATCACCTTGTACAGCCAAAAGATGAAGGGCCTGAAGGATCTGCTTCTGGCCGAGAAGCTCAACACTCACGCTATTTCCCTCCAAGTCACCGCCCAGTCAGTGGCCTCGCGAAAGGTTCGAGGAGTGGAGAAGCAATCGGCCACCATTTCAGCCACCATCACTGCAATCTCTTCCAGTTCCGGAGACAGTGTCCTGAGCGGAGTCGGTGGTGGAGGTGGTGGAGGTGGCAGTGGTTCAGCAGTCACCGGTGGAGCGTCCTTGGCATCATCGTCCCTAGGAGGGGATTCTATAGCCGCCTCACGCCCAAAAAGAACGCGTCGCGAGTAATTCTCATTGTTGTATATTACGTATTGGAAAATTCTTATTAATCATATGTGCAAGCTAAGGTGGTTCGAGTTTTGTTGTGTAGTAGAGTGAACTCTTTAAGATAAAAAGATAGGCACATTTCGTTAAAAAACCGACTACAGCCAAACTGGAACTCTGTCCTCTGAGCACAATGAAGTCAAAATACACTTCAATAACTTACATTTTGAAATTTACTACTACCTATACAAATTTCAATTATCTCCAACTTAAAAATTGCATCTTTTAAATTTTGTAGCAGCTGAAACTCGAACCACCACAGTAAGCGAGCATATAATATATAAGCTATAATATTTTTGATGTTCGATGTGTATTTATGTAGTTCGTAAGCGCGAGACGAAACAGAAATTAAGCCGTTATAGAACGCCTAGCGTTTTAAAAAGAAATTTAAAATGTGAAACACATACACACAGACATGTCCCAACAAACGAACACAGGCACACGAAACGCTAAGCTATGCTAAGTATTTATGATGTATTTTTAGCTGTTATACTTTATCTCTTATGTATTTATTGCTACAACTATGTGTTTTCCCATCAAGCAAGCTTAAACCTTTTTTTTACTGTTTAAGCGTAACTTAATTGGTGCTCTTCTTCGAAAACGAAAGCAAAATATAGGTTCTGTGTTTGATTTCGATCGCACTTTGATGCGAAAATCCGAAAAGATGTTTTTAGAACGATAGCCGGACTGCTCATATTTATGTATTTACTTTAAAGCATTTTATTGAGGCTAAGCTGATTAATTTAACTCTATTTACATATATATATCCTGTACAACTTAAGAACGCAAATCCTTGTTACAAACTGTTGACTTGACTTGCAACAAAACAGTTGGCAAAACCGAATGGTAAACAAAAGAATACATATTTTACACTTCCTCTATATGTGATACAACACTTTTCTAGAAAAGCTTTCATATTATCTTATAAAACTAAATAGAATTAACCACTCTCCACACACTGTAAACGAACACTACTGAAGTGGGCTGGCAGCAGCAGGACAGGCTATTGTTTAGGGATAACCCATAATCCAGTTGAATGTAGGTCCCGATCCGACGAATGTGTCCCATCAACTTGTCGCCCCATTTAGCTACAGCAATTACGGAAAAAATCGGAGCTTGTAACAAATTGTTAAACGATGATAATAATTGCATTGAATTTAATTTGATTTGTGCGTAGAGCATCTGTGATGAATAATAATGTTTAAAGGATAGAGAATGAGCGAGGTGGAGAGCCCAAAACCACACACAATACTGATCAACAATATTACTAATCAAATATAAGGTGTTTTATTCCTCGTATATAACATTAGCAGTCTAAATGTAAACACAAACGAAATCAAACAAACTATTTAATTATGCAGATTTGCAGACCGCAACAACTAAATGTTAAATGTTGAACTAGAGTTACAATTGCGAACTCTAGACACCGTAACTAACAACAAAACAACAAAGGAGTATATATTTTGGCATACAAAATTTTTAACATTAAGTCAACTAAAGGCAGAATGCTAATTGTGAAACATGTTTTATTTTTACTACATCTCGGACAGCACGAAAACCAGCCCAAAAATAGACAAAACTTAAAGTTCGCTATGCAAAAAATCAAAAGGCAGCAATTCAAGAACGGAAACAATATGAAAACCTATACCCATATAACATATATTTATTAATGTTAAAATATGGTACATTTTTGATCTAATTGTTTAAAATAGCCAACCAGCAGCAACAGTTAAATTAAATGTAGCTTAAAATCCAAATGCTCAATAATCCCTTTAGCTTGAAAAGTAAATAGCCAGCCGTAAAAATGTTATACAAATCATTAAATGCATATAAAACAATTGTAAAAGGCTAAAGCAATCCTGAAAAACTTGAAGACCTGAAAATCATATGAAATATAAGTGACTTCAATGCTAGGAATTTTGTGTTAAATGCGGTTCAACTTTTTCCGGTGTGTTTTAGCCAGCATTTGAATTTTTTGGGGTGAGTGTTTAAACAAAAGTGGCTTAATTCTTTTATAGAAAAAGAAAAATAATTTAAGCCATAGGTACTAAATCGGAATACAAAAGTAAGGTGTGCAAATATTTTTTTAAAATCCAAAAGCTGTACACCGAATATCCCACCTTTTTTTGTATTTGTAGCTTAGATTTTTTCAAGCTATAAGCTAGCCATGACATCACTGTTAGGTGCCAATGGTATTTTTAGGGGTATTTTTTCCGGGTTACTTTGGTTTATTCTGACGGTACAGCTGCGGTCACACAATAAAAAGTGACTGGCATCATTTAGCAACAAAAAACGCGAATAGCGTCAAAAACATTGTTTTAACGTTGTTTTAAATTAATAAAAGCACACACAATGTCTGCACCAGATAAGGAAAAGGAGAAAGAGAAGGAGGAGACCAACAACAAGGGCGAGGACTTGGGTCTCCTGGAGGAGGATGATGAGTTCGAAGAGTTTCCCGCCGAAGGTTGGTCACTGTAATGTGTAACATCGGCAGTTTCTAACCATTTTCATTGCAGATTTCCGTGTTGGCGACGATGAGGAGGAGCTGAATGTGTGGGAGGACAACTGGGACGACGACAACGTGGAGGATGACTTTAGCCAGCAGTTAAAGGCCCATCTGGAGAGCAAGAAAATGGAAACGTAAACCGGCACCGACCCCTTTGTTCAGTCCTAACCATAAAAACGAGCTGAGCTGTTTTGCAGTAATAGAATAAAATCAGTATATTAAGTGGAATTCATATGCCAGTTTTGGCCAAGAGCCTCATGGATTTGCTCATTTAACATGGCATACAGCTGATCTTGCCCCAAATTTCGCTGGTCAAGCTCGACCAAGTTTTTACTCAGATCCTCTAGGCGTTTCTTGCGATCCTCAACATCGACCTGCAGCTGTTTGAGTTCGTTAAGCAGCTTGTGATTCTCGGCATCGTTTTCCTGGCTTCTTTCCTCGTACCGCTGATCACAAAGACCGAGTTCCTCCTTCTTGGCCTTTGCATCCTGAAGGCGCTTCTGATAATTGACCTTCCAGGTGGGCAACTGCTTCTCCACCGCCTCCAGCTGCTTGAAGCTCTCCTTGTAGTCATCCACTTTGCACAGCGAAAGCGCAGCCGTGGCTTTCTCCAAGGAGGCGACTATGTGTTGGCTGTTTTCGATTATCCGGCGATGTTCTTTCGTCTCCTGTTTTTTGCTGGCCAGCTCCGTCTTGCAGCTCTCGACATGCGAGGATGCGCTCTTAATCTTCCTGCAAGGTGTGAAATTTTCGTAAGTAAAGAAACTCTAGGCTTGCCCGACAGCTCTTACTCTCGCAGTTCAGTCACTTGACTCTCCTCCACCACTAGCTGCTCCCAGTGTCCTATACGTTTGTCCAACTCATTATGCTGCAGCTCGAGAAGTTCCAGAGCGTTTTCCTGCTCGCTGCAGGACTTTTTCAATGGTAGAAGCTTTGCTTGAGTATCCTGCAAATCTTTCTTAAGTTGGTTGATGGCCACTTCGCATTCCTTGGTGTTCTGACTGCACTGCTCCAGCTGTTGACTCTTGGTCTTCAGCTCGGCAGCCAGCGAGTCCTTCAGCTTAAGGGCCTCCTCTACAGGCCCCACCACCTTCTTTTTGAACACTTTGTAGTAGGCCAGGTGGTTGAAAAGGTAGCTCAGGGTAGCCAGCGTTTTCTTAACAGCTAATAGGCAAGTAAATGTTAAAGATACGAAATAGTTAATTGTGCCTAATTGTACATTATTGAGAGAAATCCCTCAATCCCTCACCTGGCTTTATGATATCCACATAGGTGTAGGTCTTGTTGGGAAAGCTGATCTGGACAATGCGCTCCACTTGGCGGCACACTCGGATGAGGAAGAGGCGCGCCTCGCGCGATGAGTGGGCGAGTTCGGTGCCAATCTTATAGGGCGGCTCCATGCGGAAACCGAAACTACGCAGATAGTGCACCATGATCTTGGTGACAAGGGGCTCGGTGGGATTGGCCAAGTCGTTCTGGCAAATGTTGATGTCGGGCATCAGGCAGTTGCCCTGGTTCATAACCCTCTCTATTTCGGCTGAAAGCGCCATTTAATCAAGAGTTTTAAGTTGCTGTAGTGTTTTTGAATGGAACGCCGCTGTGGGTTGAGATTAGTGTGACCAAAGTCTGCAAGCCCCCAAAATCCTCTAAAATGCCACTCCAGAATTGATGTGGTTTTCACACTTTCAGTTCGACACCAGATAACTGGGATTTTGTAAAATGATGTAAAAAAAGGAAAGTACTTTTTAAACATTTTAAATAAACTAATCATTAAAAGTAGTATTTTTTAAGTGCAATGGTTGTGGTATTTTTTAGCGCGAAACTAAAAAGTAACGGAAAACCCGGCTTCCGGTTGCCATGGATGTTTGTTAAGTTTTCTGGGCTTTTGGTGTGTGAAAACTCCGCGAAATGGCCTCCTCAAGCGCAGTAGAAGATGAGCATCTCACGGACTCCGATTTAACCGACGATGAGGGTGAGTTTGGGTCGGTAATTCCCTGCAGAAATCCTTTTAATCCCTAATCCCAGAGCGCAGCGTGGAACCGCGCCAGGAGGAGCTGCGTCCGGAGACTCCGAAGCCATCCTATAGCGACGAGGAACTAAACCAATTGGTGTGCTATATTCAGCGGATGAGTGTGTTGAGCTGCTTGGATCACAGGGACTGGCAGGAGGGAACTCTGGACATCATCCGCGGCTGGCTGCTGGAGGTGCACGAGCCCCTGCTGACCATTTACTACGACAGGGATACCCTATCCGCCTGCTTGGGCATGCCCACCACATGTGTCTCGGATCTGAGCTACTTTCGCCGGGAGCCGAATGAGATCTTCAGCGTGGAGGGATTTCACGATGAGATCAACTTTGGCACCTTGACGAGCGATGTGGATGGCTGCTTGATGGAGCTACTGGATCGCTTGTACGTTCCCTTCCTCCGGAACTATCTCGAATGGAACGCCACGGTGCGAAATCGTTTCTTTTCCAGCATGGACAGATTTCTGGCATTTCTCACCGGAATGCACCACCAAATCTCTGGGGTGTCTGTGATGTACGTCCCCTTTGTCATTAAGGAGTTGACGGCTGGTCCCGTTGATAGGTATTTGGTCGGAAGTCTGGAGGGAATCGCTCTATACTGGACAACACAGATTCGTACTTTGCTGGCAGACGACACGTTGACAGTTCCACACGATCTGGTCACCGTGCGGGATGAGTTCGAGTTCTGGGAATATCGCTGTAAGTTTATATCTGTTAGCTCTGTAAAAAATATTAATTTGAAGGTGGTGTAAAAGAAGTTGAGTTTCGTAACTATTTATCCACCTTCTCATTTCAGATGAAGTCCTTCAAGGTATCAACGATCAATTGGCTCAATCGGATGTTCAGAAGGTGTTATGGCTCTTACACAATGCCCATTCCGTGCACATGCCACAAATGGATGGACTTATTGAGAGGGCCAAGGAAGAGCTTCTTAAGTCTTTGTCGAATATTAAGTTCCTTCATCTGCTGATTGAGCCCTGCTCCAAAATAGATGCGGCCACAAGCCCGAAGGATTTGACAAAACTTTTGCCTCGGATTATCCACCTCATACGATTTATTTGGCTGAATTCTGAATACTACAATACAGCTAGGCTAATATCTGCATTGTTCCGGAATTTGAGCAATCAGATCATAAGGTAATTTTGAACCGGAAATACCAAAGAAGATATAATATGTTTTTTGCTCCTTACAGATTCTGCACAGAGCAAACCAAAGTAGAGGAGATTCTCTCGGGCAAACCCCGTTTCGGCATTAGGATTTGCAACGTGGCTATCGAATGCTGTCTGACCTACAGGGGAATCTACGATACAATTTCTATAGAGCTTGCCCAGAAACAGACCCAAATGCCGTGGAAGCTGGATGAGGGACTAATCTTCAACCACATCGATGCTTTTGTGGAACGGCTCAATGATGTGATTGACATTTGTGAATCCATGATTGTATTTGGACGACTAGATGAAAATGGGAGCATACCCAAACCCGTTTTTGGCGGCACGTGTGGCGAGGAGCTAGAGAAGATTGCGGAAAGTGTGGAGGAACAGTTTCTGGGCACCTTGCACACACTGCAGTGCGACTCTCAGGCATATATCCTGAATGTCCATCGTTCAGATTGGTACGCGGATGTAGCAGCCTTTCGCAGGGACATGCAGAAACTGGAGGAAACTGTCCAGAGGCTGATCTTCAATGTATTCCAGAAAGTGTCCAATGTTGAGGAAACGTTGGAGGCTCTGCAATCCATGCTATTCTATTCGTATCGCCAGAGAGGAACCCTGAGAAAAACATACATAAAGGAAACGAGCACACTGTGGAGGATGTTCTCCAAGGAAATGGATGCTACGTCGAGAAAACTGCTAGAGGAGCAAAGCCGGGAATCCTGGTTATCAAAACACGTATCCATAGCTCTCAGTTACCGGATTAATCTTGAACGTCTGACTTGGCTAAGAGATCGATTGAAGAACTCCGAATGGTTGCCGGCTGTGAAGGAATCAGCACCAGCTTTGGCTAAATTTGACGCACTGCGTCATGAATTCCAAAAGGAAATTCGACTGGCCTACGAAGACTGGGTGGCCAAGCGCTGCGGCTTTTCGGGAGACCTTTGCCGGCGCTTGGATCGTTATCTGGTAGTGCGAAGTAAGAAATTCAAGGGACTTTTGGAGTGCAATATTGATGCATCCGTTCTGGAGCTGTGTGAGCAGGCCCAGCACTTTGAAAGAATGGGCTTTGCCATTCCTAACACAATGAAAAAACTTTACGAAAGATACGATGTTATAAGATCATTATACAATGGTATTATTCAACTTGCTTTAAGTCACAATCGAATTTTGGCTGTTCTGAGCGACAGGGAACGAAAACTATTTCGACCTCTGATACAAGCGTGTGATCGTCAACTTGCTCCTGGGGTATTCAAGATAACCTACGGCTCTGAGTTCAATGAGGAATTCTTCGAAGACGGCACAGAGTTCATCGCGGAGTTCCAGGAGTTAGTTCTTATATTCAAGCGCGCTAATCGCGGCGTGGCCAGGATTTGTGAGAAAATCTGCACCACCTGCCTACTGCACTTTGCATTTTCCGGCTCCGTGGATATATCTGTGTTCCAGCAACAGTTGTCCAGCAGGCTGAGCTCCTCCGGTGACATCTTGAGGAGCTACTACAGCAATGTAGTGGAGCTACTGTCAGCCTTTAGTCGGCAGTTTCAATCGGTGGATGATGAGGTGAGCATTAAATTTAAAATCTTTTCTTTTATGCGATTTATTTTCATGCCAGATGACTGGTGAGTGGATTGCTTATGTAAACGATATGGATGACATGCTAGCCAGTTCCTTAATGACCAGTGCTCGTGGATCCCTTAACAAGCTCTATGAAGCCCTTCATTGCGATGAGGATATGGCATCCGCTCCTATTATTGTCGTCGAATCAGATGTGAAGGATGGTCGTATTGTCTTTACTCCCGACATGGAGGCCATTGGAGATATGATCAATGGAATCGTTGATAGCATACGCAGCATGTTGGATCAGTTTCCACGACTGGGGTATAAACTGAAGCTCCCCAAGAAGCAGCAGCGTCAGGGATTCGCCAGCGTTTTCCAGGAGGATCAGGAGTGCTCTGACTTGATGAGAAGCATTCAAGCGGAGATCGGCATTCAGCGAGAGGAGCTAGCTAAGTACGAATCGGCGTGGAATAAGAATCGTGTCCTTTGGGAGACGACGGAGGCAGAGTTCCGGCAGCGCCTAATGTCTAAGTCTCGGACGGCTGGTGTCTTTGAAGGTGGAATAGAACACTACAGTGCCCTGGCGGATGATGTCATCTTCGAGGATGCCATCACTAACGTGTACTTTATCCTGATCAATCAGAATGCACTGAAGAGCACCATCCTGGATTGGATCGAAAAGTGGCAGGCTCTCAATATTAAAATGCTGCTGGATCATGGCAGCAATTTGATGAGAGGTTAGTCTCACATACTTACTATTTTGAGAAGACATTGAACTACCAGCCCCTACTTTATATATCTTTTGTTTTAGCCGTCTACCGATATATGCGACGCAACGAGCAAAATGTGATGACGGTTCCTCGAACCATCCGTGAAACGGTGGCTGCCAAACAGCTCTTTGCTCAACTCCTGAAGGATGTGCCAGTGAAGCAATCGGCATTTACTCCGATGCTGGAACTCTTTGTGCTGCTGCACAAATACCAGGTGCAGCTCAGCGACGAAACCTTTGAGCAGGTGATGGGATTGGAGACGGCATGGTTGCACTACCTCCACGTGCTGGAGGAAGCGGATGAGATGCTGGACAATGAGGACAGTGAGGCCAAGTTGCAGTTGGCCAAACACGGGGAAAAGTTCAAGTTGATATTAAAGGAGTTTCTGGAGGATTTCTACTCGAAATTACCCAAGAAATAGGAATAGGAAAATAGACATCCCAGTAATTACTTTCAAAAGCCATTTTAATTATAAGTTTTACCACAGGTAAAAATTAAGTAACCATCTCAGCACTCTTGTAGTTAATTTACTTGCTTTAAATTTAATTATGTTACAAAGTTTCCATTAAATATTTATTTCTTTTGATACCATATTACCATTTGTCATATAAAAAAGGCAAATTATATGTAAGCAATTTTTCCGCACGACTTCTCCATTTTTTCCCATTTTCAATTAGAATGCTGTTACAGCAAAGACCGCAAATAATCTGATATCCTAGTGTGATTAAGTTTTTTGTTCATCGAGCGTTGATGTGCGGTTTAGTTTAATTAATCGCTGTGTTTAACACCGATGTAACAACGAACTAAGTTAAACATAAAAGCATAAGATCTGAACATGATACCATGATACCATGTTCTGGCTTTAACCCTTAAATAAAACGAATATAGTTTTCCTATACTTTTAATTACTGGGCTCTCTGATTTTGGTAAGTTTGTTAATGGCTCTGATGGGTCAGCTCCGTGACGCCACCGGTTTCGACTTGCCTTCGTTGGGTAACCAAATCGCTTGTTATCATTTTGATTGATTTATGGTGTGTTCGTGAGGCTCAGCTAATTAGCTGTTAATGTGAATTTGAGTCGGGCGCTTCAGTCATGAAGCGGTCGCCAGTCAGTTGGTCACTTCTGTGGATGGGCTGCACAGGCCTTTTCCTGCTGGCTGATAGCCCAGCCCCTGTGAAATCCCATCACATTTTGGGTGTCTTTGTCAATGTGCACCGTTCGCAGTTAATGGTCCATTTGGCGGTATGTCGGGCTCTATTGCAGAGGGGTCACCACTTAACCCTGGTCACCACATTGCCGCTGGAGGAGCAGGAGGTTCGGGGGAATGTGTCACACATTTTAATTCCCTGGGAGCAGCCAACAGTGGAGGGATCCTCCTCCTCGGACCTCCTTCTGCGTCTGCAACGGATGTTTAGGCGGTTGGAACATTCCGGAGATCTGCTGGATTTGCCGGAGTGGAAGCGGTTTCTCAGTAACCCACCTAATACTCCCTTTGATCTCCTTCTCTTGGGCTATCATTTTAACGATCATCTGTTGGGAGTTGCTGCGCATTTCAACTGTCCAGTGGCTATAGTTTCCACCCAACAGCCAACTGGATTTGTCAACAGCCTAATGGGCAATCCCGAGGAGCGTTCGTACGTCCCACAGCCGTATGATGGCCACCAGAGGAGTGGAATCTCAGCCCGCGTCTTTGGAATTTGGGAGAAGTTCATCGAAATTTTGGCGAGGAGGGTACTGGCCAGGATCTACAGGTATGTATCTGAAATAGCTGCTGCAAAATTAAAATCCATTGTGGTTCGCTTTTTAGCTTGCACTTTCCCGAACCGCGATACCCCAGCTTTGAAACGATGCGCCGATCGGTGGTCCTGGCCTTAAGTAATCATCACATGATCAGCGAGGGTCCCATAGCACCATTACTTCCCAGTATGGTGGATGTGGGAGGTATAGTCCTAGAGCAACAGCGAAAGAAGACTCCTCTGGAAATATCAGCTGGCAATCGATCTCTCATCATCTTCAGTTTGGGCACTCGCTTCACTTGGCGGAAGTCAACTGCAGAACTGGTGCAGACTTTCACAAAAGCTTTTTCTCGGTTTCCGGACTACGACATTTACTGGACCTACGATGGACCAAATGGTAGTGCCATCAGTTTGGATTATCCCCACTTGAAAGTCGCCAAGTGGTGGCCGCAATCCCAGTTGCTGCAAAGTGGCAGGACTCGATTGTTCATCACTCATGGAGGCAAGGGAAGTCTCTCGGAAGCCCTTTTTTATGGAGTGCCCATGCTGGGACTACCTTTAATTGGGGATCAGCGCGCAAATCTTCAGAGAATGCACTCGAAAAACTGGGGATTGACTTTATCTACCTACTCACGCAATCTCACGCACTTGGAGCTAGCGAAGGCCATTTCGAGAATGATTAGCAATTCGAGTTACGGCGAAACTATATTGAAAGCTTCTCAAATGTATCGCGATCGTCCAATGAATTCCAGCGATTTGGCCACTTATTGGATCGAGTACATCGTTCGACATAAGGGAGCTAAAAATCTGTACAATCCCGCCAGGCAACTTAACATGATCGAATATCACTGCATCGATATTTATTTGATAGTTTATGGGTTCTTAATTCTAACGATTGCCATACTCAGAAAAGTAAATCGCTTGCTGTGACTAGAAGTATTTTTATTGCATACAAAAATATATTAAATAAGTAGCTAGGACGTCAACTTAATCGACAATAACTTAAGTACACTCGAATGTTGTTTGTCAATACTTCTGATCGGAACTTGGGAATCTGTTTAATTTATTTTTATAGAGGACCGAGAATGCTAGTAATTTAGGACCCTTTCATAAAAGCGCTACAGTGATTTAGAATTCGACAGATTCTTATGGTTTTAATAAATTATAATTAAAACACTGTAGTCTTTTTCAGTTCGCACTGCATCTTACACTCAGCTTAACTAGAAGTACATTTTAAGTTTATTTTCTGTAAAGTAATCACTAGGTCCAAAAATTAATTTGAATCGGTCTTTAATATTATAATATTATTACTCATAATACTAACAACCATAGTATGCCTTTAGTTTGCCGCTCATCCAAACGATCAGTTAGTTCGGGATTCCTTTGTTCTATGGCCATCGCGTATCCCTAACCACAGTTTTACTTCCATAGCACGAACTTCCATCATTACTTGGGATAGAAACTTTTATCTGAACCGCGTTCTGCCATTTTTTGTGGCTTTAGTGTTATATAGATAGATTTCAGCTCATGCACAGTTCTGGGTTTTCATTCTTTCAATGGGAATTTGGTTTAGCTTTTGCTATTTTGGCGCCCCGATCGCAAATACGGCTGCAGATTCGGATTCCGAGTTGGATTTTGTCCCGGGCGCGGACATCGCCCGTTCTTCACGTCATACGCCCCGTAATTGCAGAACGGCGGACTGACCTCCCCACTTTGAATGCGGCTGAAACAATGAAAATGGCAGTGAAAGCATAAAAAACAACCTAAATATACTACTGGCAAAGAATGGGGTAGAAGCACTTCAACTTACCGTCGCTCCATCACCGAGAATCCCTCAACGCCGTTCTTCAGCCTCTTGCACGTGTCGTCGCTGAGGTGGCAGTCGCATCGGCAGCGCTGCTCCCTCCGCTCCCTACGCTCCCACAGACCCACCTCCAGGTGCTCCTCCCGCGATCCCGTCCAGCTGAAGTCCTTGAAGTGCTTGGGGCATAGGCACACGGGACTCCGTTTCCGACGCGTTTCCACCTTCACACATCCGCATTCCGTGTGGTTCTCCATCGGCTTAATGATGGGCTCGGAGAAGCGGCCCTCCACCTTTGCGAACACCAGCTCCACCGTTTCGTTCTTCTTCATTTGGCAGGTCCATCCCGCCTCGCAGCATCCGACCTTGTCGCTGCACCTGTGCAGGATCGTGGCATGAGGTGTGTAGAACGTGTTCGTTTCCCTCATGATGTGGACCACCTCCGGCCTTGGCACCCGGCAGACACCCTCCATTGCCATCAGTTGCTTGTGAGCCTCGATCATTTTGTTGAGCTCCCTGGTACGAGTAACTGAAAGATACCCATCGTTATAAAGCGCATGCTGAGTTTAATCACAAGGCAGATGTAAATTCCATAAGGATTTAGGAATCATTACACTCGTATATGTACATAAAGAAATTTATAATTGGAAATAGGAAAATAATTAAATATGATTGAATATGATTGTTAGTCCTCTAACGGAAGTTTCAGTTAAACTTGCTAGAAATATCTGTGTTCAATAGTGTTGCTATAACCGATCTTTGAAATTCGTTTTACGATCACTGCAAACATGCAAGTCATAACTGTAGGCACTAAAATGCATCCTGCTGCTTTGAATAATCCCCTAAAATGCTTACTTTTATATGCAACCTATTGACATAAGCACACTTTAGCGCCTGCATATGTGTGTCATTGGAATAACCAGTCGACGGGTTTGTTACTTAATGGCCCACTAAATCGCTGAGTTCAGTAAACGGCCAGAAATTCCCTCCTTCCGTTTTCAATGCCTCTCGCGCGCGTTTCGCGTGCGATTCGGTAGCGTTTTCGATCGCCCACTGGCTTTTTGCGATGCCAGCGGCTTAAGATCATTTGTGAGATGTAATTTTTTTATTGATCGACTGCTGGAGATTGCCCCTTTAAGGCCATTTTGCCTGGCTTAAGTTTACCGTTGCACGCGAGTATTATTTATCGTCTTTTGTCGCCACCATAAAAAAACAACCTCCAGAAGCGATCTTTGCATGCGGAATTAACTTTTTCTCGGCAGTCTGGCGGTCGTAAAGTGGCAGGAAGCAAGCGGATTGGCGGGAATCGGAGGGCGCAGTCTGCTCAAAGACCACCCAGTGGTTATCCCAGCTAATCCCAGGTCCTAGTCCCAGTCCCCTTTCATTCACCTACTGGGAGAAGAACTTTGCTGGCGAATCTCCTAGGGAGAATCAACTGTTGGCTCCACATGTAATTTTCATAAATGCTCCATGATTGAATCATCAACATAACGAGCGCGCTGGGAGGGGGTGGGTGTGTATGGTTGCACTGTCACCAAATATGGGGACCCACCTATACGGATAACGATTATACTGCTATTTTGGAGCTGCTCATACGGATACATATAGTTGTGCTAACTTCCATACCAATAGCAGAATATCCTTGAGTGATTCTGTAACTATGATGCAATTCAATGTGTATCTCCCAGTGTACTTGTGGTAGCTCCAGGTTGCAGTGGCGACCAGAAGGACGCAGAAGGAGCTGTTGGACAGCATCACAGTTTGCTCCAGCTGCCTCAGCCACAACAGCCACATGAATAATTCAAGGGGCTCTGGCTCAACAAGCCAGGAGCACTGAAAACACAGGGCTTTCAGAGGCGCGGTGGGCTGGAAAATGGGGGCTGTGTGGAAAGTGGGGTGTGTGCTGTTCAAGGGGGGCAATTGCAATGTTCTTGAAAGTCTGCTTTGCTGTCTTTGAACTTGACGGCAGCGGCCATGAAAATGTGGGCCAATCTCATGGAAACCAAAGGTGTTGAGGTAGGGGAATCCCCAAAACATCACAGTTTACAAAGTTGTGCTGGGGCAATAAAGTCATTTTGATTGCTGCAGCATGTTGCACAGCACATTACTAAAGAAAATCACAGAGAAATTTCTATCATCTAATTATGTAAAGATCATTAAATCAACTGAAACCTGTAGAGGCATTTAATAAGCTTTAGAATAAAGTATTAGAGGTATATGTAAATCCACGCAGTATATAGGTCATTTTCAGAATTGCTTTAGAAGCGTTGTTGACTTCAGTCGGCAATATTTGTTCAATCAATATTATGCATTGTATCACAATTCTGCGGAGTTGAACAGTGTGAGTCCCCCAATAAATAAGACAACAGAGTCAGCCAAGTTGAGCATACGCGATGAGTAAATATTTGATAGCGGCAAATTATGTAAGTAACATACTCAATTGAAGCGAAAAATCAACAAAAATCGCCGTGATAAGAAAATTGCATCATTAGGCATTTACAGCAACAGACACAGGCATTTCCATTGACAATTTCCCAGGCCGAGTGACACACTTTCCGCGGCTTTTGCGCCGACTCTGTCCACACGCTCTTAACGGTTTTCCCAACAACACTTTTCGCGCCCATTAAGCGACAACAATTTTCCACTCAAATGCAAAAGGCAGAGAAATGCGCAAAGGGGTGGAGATACAAAAATATTGAGACAGACCGAGCTCACATTTCATTGTCAGGGGTCTGGGTTAGCTTGTGGCTGTATCGTAATTGCCAATACACTGCAAAAAACTGGCAAGGATTATGAATTTAAATAGGTAAGCAATTCTTCTCCTGAAGAATGCTTATAAAACTCTCTGAAGGCAGTGCAGCTCTAATGAATAATCAGCAAACTTGAAGCAATAAATATTTCTCCCAGTCTCAGTGGGGATTTTGTTTAGCCTAGTGTCTTGTAATGAAGTAATTGGCTAGATCTGTGGAAGTCTCAAATTGCCTCCTCCTTAAGAGAAGAAAAACGACAAACCAACAACTTAAATTAATAGAGATGGCGTTTTGTGTTTGCTTAACAAAAAACTCTCCTCTTAATTGCAACGAAAGTGCAGATGCATCGCCCAAGTAACCATGTTAAAATGGAAAAACGCAGTGGGGAATTATCTTTTGGGTGATTTTTCAACTCCCCAAGGCGTAGTTTTCACTCACTTTCCTATGGTTAGAAAGTAAAGTGCGTAAGTTAAGCTCGTGCCCGACTGTCCATCCGTCCTTCTGTTGACATCTGTGCTCTGGTTTTCCATCATTCATGGGGAGAGTCACGTGCCAAAGGATAAAACAGTCATTTTCATTTCCATTGTCATAAATAACAGGGCAAACAACTGGGATTGTCTAGCCACAGTTGCGGAATGCCAAATATGGCCTGGAATTCATAGGAGTTATTAATAAAGTGGCAATAAAAAGTTCAATTACTCCGCCTTGTTGGAAAAGTTGCTAATTTATTGTAAAGTTTATTTCAAAGTTTATTTATTTGATTTGAAGGCTAATTCAACCTTTGTTATATGTTTTTTAATTAGATTCGAGTATATTTAAGTTTAAGCAGCGTAGGTTCCCCTATTACTTGGCACGCTTCTATTATTGCGGACGCAACTGTTGCCTAGACTTTCCTTTTCCTACATCAAAGGGCATTTGATGGCGTTTTGTTCGGCTTGTTTGGCCCTTTCGTCCAGAGAATCGCATAGAATTCGTTTAGCACATTTGCTTAGCACATTTTTTATGGCCAGAACGTGATGATCTATTTGCAGCACAATTGCCGGGGAAAGGAGACGCCATTAATGGCCCCAATGAACCCCGATGAACGAGGCAATCTTTAAATGGAGGTAGGGGTAGCATACTCATACTCACTGTTGTATTTCCTCAACCCTTCCACCGCGTTCTGATCTGGGATTCGCCCATTCCACGCTCTCAACTTGCCCAGCTGATCCGATGGATTGTCATGGCTCTGTTTTGATGAAAATAGAGAAACGAACATTTAGAATACTATAATATTGCAAGAGATAAGTCATAATGTTCGCATAACATGCGCGAACCAACACTTTATTTATGGTTATAGTCGCTTGATCTTTTATTTATTTGCTGGCTGCCCCGCGACCACGTAACTATATTTCCCATTCAGAGAACGAAATTTTGCTGCTTTCATTATTATTGCACAATGTGCAGGAGCCCCGCATTTACACATATTTTTTCACCCATAAAGTATTAAAAACGCTGTGCCATTTTTTCTAGGAGCAAAAACGTAATATGGCCCAGCTAATAAATTGGATTGTGTCATGTGACAGGCAGCATACAGAAATGTTTTTCCCATATTTACCCAATCAAGTGTTATATGAAACAACATGTGGAGCTTGCATTTATTTTGGGAATTATTTGGACCAATATTTCCTCGGGGACATATTTTTAAATGAAACTTAAAACTAGGAACAAGGATTACTATCAATGGGAAACAAGTACTTATAGAAAAGAAAGCCCATTTAAAATATATAAAAATTAATTCAACATAAGCCGGAATGTTCTGATAAATTTCCTCATATTTTCCCACAAAGGGCCAGTGAAAATTAAATTGCCTTTTGATTTATGCCGGCAAGTAGTGCTCACGCAGCAATTTTGATTTATTTAACTGATTATTAACACAACTCACACAGAGCCGCAGGAAAAGGGGAGTACAAGTGCAGGTGCAAAGTGAAAACTGCGTGCCACACCTGAGAGCACCTGAAAAGCTATCACTTACAGCTCAAAGAGCAACAGCAGCGGATGTGGGGAAAACTTTTACAATTTGCATTGCCACACACTCACACGTATCGATTTTCAACAAAGGGATGCACTTGCTTTTCCCACGTTTTCCCAGCCCAAAAGAGCGTCCCGAATGTCATGAAAACTAACGACATGCATATAAGTGATACATAATGCGACGGGCGGGCGGGGAGCGGCGGGAAATCGGAAAAGCGGAAGAGCGGAAGAGCGAAAAGCGGAAAAGCGGGGGTGGCTGCCTTCTGGGTGTAATAAATGAAGTGTGCATGTAAGAAAAATGACACCGGCAGGAGCAGAAAGGATAAAGCAGCCAGCACACAACTCCATTCGCATTCCCAGCCGAGTCACCAAAGCGTTAAGTGAAATGGCCAGCGAAACGGCAGGAAGCTTTCCTCTTCAGCGCTGCAGAACTGAGCGGATCGTTTGCGAATTGAAATTGAAATTGAGGGTAATGCCGAGTCATGGTCCGCTTGCAGAAGCAGCTAATGGCTCGGGTGCATTAGCCATATTTTTTAGGGCGGTTAATGAATGCCACGCCAGGACCTGCAAGGACATCTTGTCTTGGCAGGATCAGGCGCTCTATAAATCGATGCCCTTGGCCAATACTTTGAAGTTTTTCCCTGCTTCTGGAGTTTCACTTTCATTTAGCTGACCACAAATGAACTTTATTTAATTACTTCAACTTTATGTGATTCATCGTTCATTGTTACTCTTGCTGAAACATTTGCTAGTAAGCCGCTCAATTTCCTTGTCGTGCAACGATCGTTTTGGCTATGCGAATCAAAGTAACTCGAATCGGATCTGGAATCTCAGCGTCCCATTTCTTTTCCCCCCATACCGTACATTACATTGTAGGCAATTCCTCAGCTCTCCTTTCTTATAACCAGTTCTACTTAAGCTTCATTACGCATGCTCAGCCATGACACGACCATTTCATCCAGGCTGGCAGTTGGCGACTCCCCCGACCCATTCTGGAAACTGCTCCCGCCGCGGCTCCCCTCGGATTACCATCAATCTGGAGTGCCAATCCCAGGAGCAGGAACCGGAGCTGCCCTACACGGAGGGAAAAACATCCTCAGTGCAAGACCATCTATATCATATGCTTCGTAGTTGCCATAATATGAAATATCAAAGGCTGGAGCGCTACAAGAAAAATGGTAAGTTAGAACCTTTTCTTCTCAGTGTAAAACGAAGTTGAGGCAGGGACACAGGAATGAAGAAAAAAGCTATTAAGTGTCTGCTTGGTTGACAGTATTCGAAAACAGTTGGTTGTTTTTTGTTAGGCCCGCTTCAGCTTCTATGGAAAATAATAAAACATAAAAAGAGACCAAACTTCATTTGCATTGGCCCCTTGTTCTGTTTTGAGCGTTTGAAGGATGCTTTGGCCGGAGGAGCAGTTTCTTTATTATTTTTCACTCTTGTTTTTTTCCGCACCTTTTTTGTTTAGCCCCAATTGGGATTCCTGGCGTGGGTGTGACTTGTGTTTGGTATTTTACGAGCCAGAAGGTAACAACAACGGCAGCGACAACAATAATAAAGAGCCTGTCGTGGGTTTATTTGCAATCAAAAGAGTTATGAGCCAAATGCAAATAGCGCGCCCAGTACCCTGCTTTATGATCCCCTGTCCTTACACTCTAAAATAAAATCTACAATTGAAAGCGGAAACAAAATATGATTCAAGGCGAACTTGCAAAGGTAATGAGCAAATCCATGTAGACCACAATTTATATAATAGTTAAAGCCCGCGGTAGGTACTTCCACTTGATTCAATAAATATTTATACTAGTGTATTCCCCCGAGTTCCTCAACTAAGCCTCTGACAGCGAATTCGAGGGCTTAAAGGTGTTGGCCCTGGTCAAGATTAAATACCCCTTGCCCCACACCTCCCACCCACCCACTTTGCGGATTGTAAAATGCGTGAATGAGCAAAAGATGAAAAAGAAACAAGAGAATCACCATCAGCAGTGGCAGTGGCGGCACAAAAAGTCTGGCCAACAAATTCGCCAACAACTGTGCAAATAAACAACAAGCCAGGGGCGGTGGGTGTGAGGGGGTGCATAATGGGCCAGAAAGGGCAGCGCGGTTGGGGGGAAGCTTCGTATAGTTATAGTACAATCACATATTTGTTCTCGCAGAGGAGAGCGCAGCAAACAGGGCCAACTAAATGTGCACTGCAATGTCTTTCTCAACTTTTCCGATTCCCCATTGAAACGCACAACTATAAATGGGTAGTACGAGTACACTCGTATTCACAATGAATCGCTTTAGCTAAATTAGAGTTTTCACCCAAAGGGTAAGACGGATTTCGCAATAGCCCGCCATGTAACCATAAGAACACAGATCACAATTTGGTCATTGTAAAAATATTATGTCAGCTATATATGGTTTTAGTAATAGCTTTTGAATAGCACTCTATGTTATTGTTTTTAACATGAATATATGTTAAAAGAGTAGTTTAATTCTATATACTATATTTCGTTAAATCTATATACTTTCTAAAAATATAGATATGCACATACGTTTACTTTTAATGTAGTATTTCAGAGTTCAGTGGCTCGAGTTTATTGAATGATTACACAGCAAATCTTTCATTGAAAATAATGAATACAATGCATTCATGACGACTCATCAAATAGTAGGAGAAAGAGAGGAATGTCCCATTTCTTCTTCCTGTGAATTTCTACATTATCTTTTCCAGGGCATCCGCAGTTCGTGGGCAGTCAGCTTTCGAGGCCTTTCAGTTTGTGTTTTACTAATTTGCGTTGAATGCAATGCCGCGAAATGCAAATGTAGCAATTGCAATTTGACTAAAAGCTAAGCAGGGAAAATGGAAAAATGTATGAAAAGCGCAGCGAGCAGTGTTTGTGGAAAAGTCCGCCTCGAAATTCTCGTTATTTTCTTTTTTAGAAATACAAACATGGCCCAGACACGCGGTGCTATGAAAAGGGGAAGTTGCTGGTGGACCACATGGCGTATGCTTAATATGTCATGGGTGCTTCTCTTACTGATTGTACTCAGTTTGCGTTATATTATTTTTTAGCACAAAAGTGCCAATTAGGCGGGCACTCGGCGCCCTGCTTCCTCCCAATTCAACCATTAACTTGAGTAAGTAAAATCGGACACACTTTGCAAATTTACTTGGTGTTTTTCCTTTTGCATCCTAATTGAAACTACTCGCATTAAAAGCCCATACAATTTTATGTTTTTTAGCGCGCCAAGTATTTAAGAGAAACGAAAAGAAATGCGCAAAGGACTGGGTGTATAAAATGCTTTTTAATTTTTAACGAGCGAGTGCAGCCGCGAAATCCGCCGCGACTGCTAGGCACGTTTATTATGACAATTTTATATTTGTTTGCTTTCGGCCGACTGCGAAAACGAAAGCAGCCAAAAGGAAAGCATCAAGGCTGAGCGTGGAAATCAGAAAGCACAGACGCCGCCTTTGGGACCATAAATGGCCATAATGTCCGTACAATGTCAATGACAGCGCGGCGATGTTTTGGCCAGAGAACAGGCCGAACGGCCTAAACGGCCTGAACGGCCCGAACGGCTTTCAGGGCAGCACTCTTAAGCCTAAAGAAATCTGAATGAGTTTACACGCTCATAAAACTCTAATTTCAGTTGTATGTGCAATCGTGGTTTATGCGTGCTTTAACTAATAAGATATCTTAATTGCGAAATCAATTTGTTTCGCCAAGCTTCTAAATGGATGTTGAGATTACTCATACAATATAAGCTATTTTATCCAAATGCATCCAAATTATTAAAGTTATACATCCCTATCCACAGGCTGCGTTGCCGAGCCAAGAAGGCGCCTCCCAATTAACTCGCTGCAGTTGCTCGGCAAATGCCGGAAATGTGAACTGATGCATCATCATCATCGTCGTCGTCATCGTCATCGTCGGGGGAATCGATCGAGAAACTGATTCTCGGTTGCCGGTCGAGACGTCGAATGGCAGAACATGTCTGGGTAAGCTTGAGGGGATCGGACTGTGAGTGTCGGGGCTGTCTGACTCTTCTAATTGCAACGCCCACACGCACCGATAGATTGCCGCTAGATTGCCCAAGAGATTGAAACGTAGCTGCCCCACCAATCCACCAATCCACCGATCCACCGATCTCCCGACTTGTCTGGCCTGCTCTAGATTGACTTTTCAATCTGCAATTTGTATGAATTTATCAAAGACGATACACTGACTGACGAAAGGGAAATATTGACTTTGTTGCGAGACTCGTGCGCAAATAAACGCTGGACAACGCGGAAATCGGTGATTTATCAGTGCACCTAAAACTGCTGCTGAGCACTTAAAAAAATTGGAGTTATTCTATAGACATGGAATTTCTGCTTTATATAGGGGGAATTTCAAAATACACAATCTGCTGGGAGCATTTGCACCCAAATGTCATTTATAAAGTAAAAAGATGAATGAAATACACTTCTGATTTCGTTACAATGTCTTTCATCTTTTTCGGGATCGGGCGGTTCCGCAAAACTTTCCCGGAAAACATAGCGCACGAAGGGAGGAATTGCCATTAAATTTAGAACAAAGGAATTTATATGATTTATGTTCGCGAGGAGTGTATTAAGGTCTCGTCTTGGCCATGATTTATATTCGCTGGTGGGTCTTAATTGCGTGACTCTTGGCGCATGCCCCGTTTAATGGCCAACAAGTCGCCGGCGATCAATCAGCCAGCCGTACAGTCGCGTCCACTTACTTATGGCCAGCAGCCGAAATGCGTGAGCTCGTTACACTGAATTAATTGGTCTGGCGACCAGTTTCCCTACACCTTTCTCAAGCTGTTTTTTTGGCGACAATTTTTCCCCCATTCATTAGGCAATGTCTTGCAGACTAGAAATGAATTGCATAAAACCTTACAGATATGTCACAAATATGCAGAGCTTCCGCATGAAATACTTGATCTCTTTGTGGGCCATAAATCACGAACAGATCACCGACATACGAGTACTTTGTGGACCGCCCGAAAACAGTTTGCTATTATGTCATAAGCCGATTTGCCCGTCATTAGTTTCTTTTTTCTTTTCTTTGAAAAGATTGCTAATAAATCAGAAATCCCGCCGACACTTACACATATCCCCAATTTCTATTGGTGCGTGGCAACAGATTTCATCGTTCAACTCTGTGTGGCAATCGACGGAGTCAACACAGACTTGCTGGGGATAGAAATTGTATGGGGCGCGCAGAACATTGCTTATTTCTGGATCAGCCGTTGAACTGAAAGTGAAATGATTTCATTTTCGAAGTGCCATGCGAACGTACCCTGATTCTCAGAATTTATTCATTTTTTATTGTGCGAAATGCTAAATGCCAATTGCTATAAGCAAGTGCTATTTTCTAAATTGATACATTCTAATTCTTATCACATTGAGTTCAAGAGCAAATAGTGTTAATGAGATACACTCTTGAATTGCACTCGCTTTTCTCCATTCTCAGCAACTCTTCGCCGACTTTTCAATTGCCATAGATAACCTCCATTTTCTCCAAGCCCGCGTTGATAAAGTCATTTTCTAGTCATTCAACTACTGCGATTGTACAATTGTTTGTCGTGTGCTAACAAGCAGATCAAGTTATATTAATCGCACACTTGCCTATAAATACGTATGCAGATTTTAATTTTATAGACCGTGCTACAACAGTGCTACAACCGACCATTTGCGTGGCTTATATTAACATTTCCCACAGAGCGGTGCTATTTTTACCCCGTTCCGAAAGATATGGCCAAGATATAGGGCCCATTCCCAGTTCTTAATCTCAGTGCAGCTATGCACACGGAATGCGTTGGCAAATAAACTGGCAAAGGTAAACACACAGGGAGAAATGAAATGGTATGTGAGGGACTCGAGCTCAGAGGCAAGTGCAGCGATTTCCCAGGGCGAGGGGGCGGATGGAAAGTGGGTGTGGTCGGGGATATGCCCAGTACAAAGTTCCGACGAGCAGATATTAAATTCCACTTTTCGGAGGTCAAAGGACGGGGTCGGAAATGGGAGCAGGGATATTAAGGTACAATCCTGACCACAGACCATAAGCTATTTATGCCGCCTGAGTGCATCTGCCACAAGCTCCCACCCCCGGTTCCCCGCTTTCCACATATCTCTTTGAGCCGGCACCTTATCGCACCTTTGTATGCTATTGGATCACCCATAGTTGCAGGCAAATGTGCAAGCGATAAGGTACAAATCAAGGCAGACTCTGCGACGGGGAATCAAAACCCAGGCTGAACCTTGGGCTGATAAGCGATTAATCGCAGAATCTAAAAGTGATTGTCGCCGGTTGGGGAAATCCAAAGCTATATGTTCATAACTCACGCAAAATTCGCATAGTACGAGTGTACTCAATGTCGCAAGCAAGTAACATTTGAAACAAAAATTGGTTTTGTATGCAAGCAAAAGCAATACTAAGCCAGAGAAAGAAAGGCGAATTAAATAAAATTCATTGGAAATGCCCATTTGCAGAACACGCTTGCTTAATCAGTTTGCGGACTTATCAAAAGCACTGCTATGCGATTTATCATTTAAGGAACTAAGGAACTAAGTTTTTGAGAAGTTAGTTTTGGCAAAACTCTTCTTCCACAAAATTGAGTGACTTCTCTTTCTCAGAAATCCATATTAATTGGTAATAAACACACATTGAATGACTCCCATATCAGATGTTCCATCTCAATTACGAGTAATCAATGTAAATCAGTGAAATTGTTCCTAAACAGAGTAAATCACATATATTTAGACACGATTGATTCCCTTCAAAGGCGGCAGCACTTGCATGTTGTCGAGTCAATTAGGCCAATTAACGAGGGACCACCATAACGGAAAGCCTTGTCTTTAGGACCCGAACCCCGAACCCCGAACCCCTTGCAACCCGCTTACGTTTTCCCCTTCTTATTGCCAGCTGTATCAACCAGCTGTCGGCCATGGACCCGAAAAAAAGCAATAAAAAATGAAACTGCAGGGCGACAGGTACTTCTGCAGGTCGCTCTCTGTCGATTTTAAACGGATCGGCACAATTACAGGCCGGAAAGTGAAACCGAAAGCGTTGCTGGGCAGGGATCTCTCTTCTGGATATGGATACGGATCTGGATGTGGGCATTATGCTGGCTCCCGCCAAATTGGCTTGTTAACCAAATTGGTGGCTCCTGCCTGCCGCAACACGTTTCATAATTGCCGCCATTGAGTAACTCCTCTGCCCGAACTGGCGATCCGCAGCCTCATGGGTGGGCCTTGCGATCCTCGGTCCGCAATGGGTGAGTGGAGAGCTGCGATCGGAGATCGGATCGAAGCGATTGCCAGTCCCAGTCCCAGTACCAGGCCCAGGGTTAGTCACCCGTCGCCGATTCACTGGCGCTGTTGGGTTCAAGGTGAGCCATCTCGTTGCGATCCGACTCTGATTACCATTCCGATTCTAATGCGCAACAAGCAGTTGCAGCTACTGCAGATACTGCACAAATTCACCGAGAAGCGGCCAACGAAATCAGTACGGCTGGCTATGATTCATTCATGAATATTGCTGGGTCTGTTGTTCCCACGTCTTTGACGACTTGTTTCGAGAAAATAATTATTTTGTAACATGTATCCATGACATAACAAGCTTATCAGCTTGATTCCCCCGCGCTAAAGTTCGGGTTGCCATCAGTTGCAAGATCCTTCACCGAGAGATACTAGGAAGTTGTCTTCCTTAAGCTTTTACCAGAATAGTACATTCATATCAGTTCCTTAACGTTCCGTTAAAACACAAATAAATATTTAAACGGCTAGAGACTGTCATAAAGCAGGACTACACTTTTATGGTTTCCCTGAAGTGTTTGCCCCGTGTGGGTCCCCAGATTAGAGATACAATACTCACCACATCGACGCCGGCATCGGAGCCAAGGTGGTTGTCGTCCCCCTGCCCCCAGTGGACGCCACTGAGACTGCGGCCCTGCGGATTCAGTTGCTGGGGGGTCTGATCACGAGGCACGCGCCTGCGGATTAACCGGATCAGGTAGGACCTGTCTCTCGGGATCGCCCGGTTCTCGGAGTACTGCTCGTAGTCGGAGGACTTCTGGTCCTCGTCCTCGTCCTCGTCCGCGCCGAGGAACTCGCGTGGGGGGAGGATGTAGCGACCGAGTGGAGGATTGGTGTGTGGATGGGAGGTGGTCATGGGCAAGGCCGAATTCCGCACGTTTAAGTAATTGTCATTAATGTCAGTCGGAAAATTGGAATAAGCGAGTGTCGTCTTCGATAATGTTATGGCGATGAACGCCAGCACAAGATTGCATATTACGAGATTCATATTTAAATATTATGTTTTTTGTATTTAGTTTGATTCTGGGTTTTTTAAATAATTATTTAGCACTCCGGTCGCGAAAATTCTATATTGGAATACACATAATATTCCGCTATTCTGCAAAAGAATAATAAATACGAAAAGATTAGACACTTGGCTTCTTATTAATTAATTAATCACACAGATTTTTTCGTTTGATATTTCATTTAGTTTAATCACTGTCGTAGGATTTTGGTGTACATTTTAAATAACTTTAGTTTTAACGAATTTGAAGAATTTCATGGATTGCTGTTTTTGTTTCACTTTAATTATTGCTCATTTGCATTGAATTTGCTCCGTTAATTGCACCTTGTGGCCACTTTTTATAATTTTATGCTCCAACTTGGCAGGCAATTTTTCGAGTCTAACAAGTTGCTAAATATTTTTGGCAGCTGAATGTTTTTATTTGGCACACGTCTTCGCTGTTAACGTACAGCTCCGCAGAACCGGCGTTTTTCACAGATGCAAAAATATCGAAAGACAAAATAAAACAACTTGTTACTCAATCGTTTTTTATTTACAATTCTCTTTGCGGCTGTGCGATTTTCAAAATGTTAATAAACTTTGCCGGCGAGACAATAAACATTTTATAGTCGCTGCTCAAAAACATAAAACAAGCACATTATTTTAATTGCTTTGTTCAATAATATGTAATTTGGCACACCCACTTTTCAATTAAAAACCGGCCTTTAATAAACTTACAATCACTTAAAATTTTTACGTGCAGTTGTGAAATGTTTTTTTTGTTTCACCAACATTGTCAATTTATTTTTTTCGATGAGCAACTGATTTATTTTGTAAAAAATATTTCCAAGCGATTTACCGTCTTGCACACTTTTCGAAGGAATTTTTTTTAGCTTATAGCACTTATTCTTCACCAAGTTCTTGATTTTTATAAGGACTCTTTTTTGCCTCAAAGGATAAAACTTGAGTGCCGAATCTCACGCAGCATGCGACCGTTCGCTTCGAGTTCCACCGCACGACTGATCCGGCGGCATTGCCGATCCACATCCACAGCAGCACGAAACGAAAAGCTTCTGCTCTGCGAGCTCTTTTCACTCAGAGAGAAAGAACGCCTTTAAGTCACTTGCATTTGAAAGAGTATCTTTCGCCAATGACGTCATCCGTCATCGAGTCGTATTATTTCATCTGCTTACATATGTTCGATTTCTGCATGCTTCTTGTTTGTGTCCCAATTAAGTACATAGTTATCTGAACTCGTGATACATGATAGCCTTAGACGCCGTTGAAGCGCACAAACAGGTAGCGTTTCCGACTGTAAGTGTATAACATACATATTTGAGTCGATCTGGCAGCGCCGCGTCCGTCCGGATGTCCGGGTGTCCGAATGATGGTCAGGATCTTAAGAACTATAAAAGCTAGAGTGTGGGGAATTCTACTTTGCTAGTCCACCCAAAAATATTATGAGCAATTCAGGAAATAGAAATACACTTATTTTAGCTGAGTAACCGGTAGGGGATATCAATGGCACACTTAAATATTTAAAGACCCGAGTTTCCGCAAAATTTTCATTCGGGTAATCCATAATTAATTCTGACATAATGTTCGATGACTTATTGACCGATGAATTGGGAACCAAATATAGTTGAGTTTCTCGACTATAAGATATCCGTTACTCAGCTAGTTGTGAAGTAGAAAAGAAACAGGATGTTCGTAGAAATTCATTAATTTAAAGTGTCTGTTGTTTATCTCGTTCTATTTCAAGATAGGGGGTTGAGTTAAGGGAGCAAGCGCTTAAAGAACATTCCGTCCCGATCTTTAGCAAAAGGACGTTATAAAGAGTTCTCAATTTCTCACACAAATAAATATATCTTCTACCTCTGGCTTCAGTTTATAAATAGAAGTGATCGCATGGTTATCAGCCACTTGCTGAGGTGGCGACCTTAAGCAACTCATTTGCTGGCAAATTACAAGAACGCTTATCTATAGCACGCTTTGAGCTGGAACTTACTTTAATGTTGTATGTAAATCCGCACGAAAACGATGTGATTCAGCTCCAGATGTTATTCCGCCTGTCAACACGTTTGCCGTTGAAGATGGGAATCCTCGACGGATTCGTCTTATTTATGGCCACTGGCTGGTTCTGCTAATAGCCCATAAATCTTATTAATGATATCTGTCAAGTGAGCGCGGCAACCAGCGAGATCTGCATCAATGCATTGGCGTTTCATTTCTCGGTTCTAAGTCGGGAATTCTCGGTTGAGTCTGGGGCAGTCTACTCGATTTTGCTCCATTCTCAATTCTCAATTCTCTGGTGTTGATGATGGACAGCAGCTTTCAGCGCTACCGTCAATCAGTCGGGCTGACAAAAAGTGTTTACCCCTTTTGCGAAGAAAAAAGGGGGAAGAGCGACACACACTTGATGCCCTTCCGTTTGGGTATAGAAGTCAGTCTAAGTAAGGCATTCTAAATGAATAATAAAATGCAGTAAATAAATGTTTTGGGTGAAAATCAAGCTTACCTAAAAGAACTGAAATTGCTTTCATTTTGTAATTAGCTGGCGGGCTAGCAGGATTTTGTTAGGGTATTCCGAGAACGTTGTCATTGCCTTGCATTGCTAGCTCACACTTTGTTGTGCAACACTCGAATGCTCCCGCCCTGCCACAAGTGGGCGTGGTTCGTGGGCGTAGCTGACTTCGCACCAGGCCAATAATCTTTAATAGGTCTGAAGAATTTTTTTGTAGCTGTCTACTCTCTTTTCAGTCAACACCAAGCGCAAATATGCGACCGTCTATGCCGCAGTCCTCTCCACCCGCCCCCCAAAGCTAGCCCCCTCCCAAAAAGTTTTCCCCGCCCCTGCGCGCCTGTCGAGTTTGCTTGTAGACACCCAAACACCCACGATCAGGAATTTGCATATGTGTTGCCTGATCTGAATTTTTAGCTCGTCACCTCCGTTTATTTGCCGTTTGTACAAACACATTTTGAGACATTTTCGAATCGCCGTTTTCTACTTCCTGTAGAAAATTGTAAAGTTGTGTACTAATATTATATATTTGTTTAGTCGAAACTAATTCGAAACTAGCGATTTTCCAACAAAGAGATCTGCAAATCGGTAGCTTGTGTCGTTCTTATCTACATCCGGATTTGTCTGAATTTCTGATTAAATCCCCAACTAATTGTGAAATAATGCAGTTGTAATCTTCTCAAAGAAATGGCACAGATTCATGAGTCATGAGTGCAAACTGAAGCATTAGTATTAGTGACCTCTTGTGACTCAGCCAAAACTCAGTCTGACTTCGAGGTCTAAATACCGCTCTTCAAATGCCATATACGAAGATAATATAATCCCTTTATCATCTTGCGAGGGGCTCAGAAAAGCGATCGTTTACTTATCACTCAGACCCCCATTTCCCCCTTTTAAGCCGGCCTGTTCCAGTTTTCAGTTTTCAGTCTGCGGTTTTTGTTTTCCCCGATCGAGCTACAGAATTGACAATTAGTGAAAGTGGAAAATGTGTCTGGTCCGCCGTTGTGGCTGTTGTTTGCCTAGACCAAAGATCTGTAAATGCTTTTGATGGCTCCATCGAGATCTTTTGCCCTGGTACGTGTGAATATTTGAGAAAGCTAATCCCCATGATTTGCACTTTGCTCGCTGCACTCTAAAAAATTACAGAATATTTGCCTGGCATCATACTAAAACGGCACTTCTTTTAAGGACAACCTAGCAAGCTTAAGACCTTTGTGGGAATACTTGTATAAATTAATTAATTAATGAGTTTGCTTTATTTTCATAAAATTTTTATAATATTTTTGCTTAAAGCTAGCTTAAATGTACTTTACAGATATTCGATTTTAAGGCATCTTTACAATTTAATGATTCAACATTTTATACTTATATAAAGTAGATTCTTATAAGCATGTTCTTCATGACATGTTTGGCGTCAGATATTGACGGAATTCTCTGAGTGACCGGCTGAGGAAGTTCTCCCAGAGTTCTCGTATACCAATCTCATATGATCCTATACCAATCTCATATGATATGTTTTTTCACTGGCTTTTAAAGTATACTTGCGTATCTCGTACTCTTCAGTGCATCTTTTTGATTAGGTGTTCTATAAACACAGGGAAAATGGCGTTTTAATATTTGTAAATTATTTTACTTAACAGTTGCACCATTTTGTGGGCTTAGCTTTCCCTTCGACACCCATTAATAAAACCTGTGTGCAAACAATAAACAAATTATCAGAGCTCCAGAGAGCCACGGGATTTATGCTCCACGACAGGGCTTAGTGGATTGTGGCCACGACAAATTGCCTGGTGGCCTGGTTGCCTGGTTGCGTGGCAGTTTTATGCGGCCGAAAAGTTGGCGATAAGGCAAAATAAGGAAAATCGCAGGCCTTTCGGCCAGCTGGCTGTTGACTGTTGGCCTACTGAAATCGCTAAACTGTGCCAGCGAATTTGCAAGTAAATCAGACGCGTTGCACGAATAATTTGGCAGAGAATCGAATCGAAAAACGAGACAAGACGGCGGCAGGCAATCTAAAAATAAAGGCCATGACGAAGTCGACAGAATATCGGATGAGACATGTGTACCCGCTACATGCGATATATATGCATATGTAGCGGGAAGGGGCGTGGCATCGCGCCACAAGTTGCCAAGTTATTTTTTATAGCGTCTGGCAATTGGCGATGATGCAAGGCGGCCCTCCTCTTTGTGGCTTATTTTTTACGACCACATTATTTGCCGGCCGTTCTTGTGGCTATTTTCTATGCCATTTCGGCGGCTTTCTGTGCGTGGGCTCTCATTGATATTAATTGCTCGGCTTTCTTTTGGCAGCCAGCGCAAGTGTTTATTTGGCTTATGTCTTCCGGCCAAAAAGGGAGAGCATCGCGACGTGGCTAGAACCCATTCTTGTGGCATTTGCTACTGCATTGTCGTGCGATTTCACTTGCAATATTTCGAAACATTCAACATAATTTAATTCAAGCAACTTTATATTGAATAATTGTTCAAACTGTCGAAAGCTCAACAAAACATCACTGACATTGTATCTTTTCCTATCTTTGAACCGCCAAGTCCCGCTCATATGGTTTTATATTGCGAATTTTAGTACCCTTCACATTTTTATAGGGCACCCAAAGTGCTATCCATCTGGAGAGGGATCCCAAACCACAGCGGCTACATATTTTCTGCCGCATTTTGCGGGCACTTTGGTGTCTTTTGGTTCTGCGGCATATGCTGAGCACATAAAACATGCCGAACTGTGCTAATGTTTTTATTTTCTCATATGCATATATATGTATTTCCTTTTCTTCGGGGGCGCCAAGCCAAAGCCAATTTGGCGACAGTTTTCCCATTTTCCTCGCCCTGGCAATTTTCCCAAAAGCATTTTGTTGTGGGGGAGGCAACAAGTGTCTGCATCGGATATTTTCTTGTTCCTTTGTTCTTGGCTGCTGTGCATTTGATGATTAATGCTGTTTATTTTTGCCTACTTGGCCATGGGAATTTGCAGTTTTCAATTGGGTCAATTCGACGATTTATTT